AAATAATTGCAGAATGTCACACTGTTTTGAATAGTTCAGTAGTTACAGGAGCTCAATGGGTCTTATAAGTATCAATATATCTTAAAGAACAAGAACTGGGTATTCTGTATCACTGCTTTAGATTCCAGACACTTTTTGAATTAAAGAATTTTCACCGTCTTTTATTAGTTTAATTTTTTTATAATGTATTTTTAAAATAAATTTATTTATTTATTTTGTTTTTGGCTGCGTTTGGTCTTTGTTGCTGTGTGTGGGCTTTCTCTAGTTACGGCATGCGGGCTTCAGTAGTTGTGGCACATGGGCTCCAGAGTGCAGGCTTAGCAGTTGTGGTGCATGGGCTTAGTTGCTCCGCGGCATGTGGGATCTTCCCGGACCAGGGCTTGAACCCGTGTCCCCTGCATTGGCAGACGGACTCTTAACCACTGCGCCACCAGGGAAGCCCTTTTAATTTAATTTAATTTTGTTTTGACTGTGCTGGGTCTTCGTTGCTGCCCGCGGGCTTTCTCTAGTTGTGGCTAGCGGGGGCTACTCTTCGTTGCAGTGCGCGGGCTTCTCATTGCAGCGGCTTCTCTTGTTGCGGAGCACGGGCTCTAGGCATATGGGCTTCAGTAGTTGTGGCACGTGGGCTCAGTAGTTGTGGCTCACGTGCTCTAGAGCGCAGGCTCACTGGTTGCGGCACATGGGCCTAGTTGCCCTGCAGCATGTGGGATCTTCCCGGACCACTGCTCGAACCCATGTCCCCTGCATTGGCAGGCGGATTCTTAACCACTGGACCACCAGGGAAGTCCAAGAGTTTTCACCATCTTGGGCTTCTTTATGTGCTAACAGTATTCCAAAATTATTGGGAGCTGACACTGTGGGCAGTATTTCACATCCGTATTGCTAAATTTTACTAGCAGGCTTTCCTATGTGTCGATGAACTGTTCTGTTATTTTGCTCCCATCTGCCAAGTAGTTATTTTCTTTTTTTCTCCCCCTTTATCCTTGCCTTCTGCAGTCTCTGGTATTTTATGTCATGTAATGTATACTTCCTTATTTTGGTAAGATTAGAAAAAAGGTATTTCAGTCTAGAGTAAATATCCTGTCCCTTCCCATCTCTTCTTTCTTGTTCCTGTTCATCCTTGAAGATTCACCTTCTCTGAGAAGTCATCCCTGGACACCCCCATTGGGATCAGGTGTCTTCTTCTCTCTTCCCCCTGCGACCGATCTGTACAAATGATCAAGGACATGCCACACGGCAGATCTAGAGTTACTCATATTCCTTGACCTGAAGGAACTTCGAGTTGAGATGGGGAGGCAGACATTTAGACAGAAAAATGCAATATGATCGAACCTTTTTTTAAAATCTAATATGTGAGTGTTTATCATGGAGCAGGCATTGTGCTAAGCATTTTATGTGCATTATTTCATGTTGTCAGTAACCTTATGATCCCGATTTTACAGAGAAGGAGAGGGATTTAGAGACTGTCCTTGCTTTGCCTGAGGTCAGTTAAGTCACAGAATTGCTACCGAAATCCGGGTCCAGAGCCCAAGCTCATAGCCACTCTGCCTCTTGTACTGACTTCTGCCTCTGCACAGATGTGTCCCCTGGGCCCTCGCACGCTAGGCACAGGGAGAGGACAGCCCCAGTACTGGAGTTCAGAAACTAATAGTTACTCTACAGTCACACAGCCACTGTAACTGACTCCAAATGATCCCTCAGAGACTTCAAAAGAATTCAAGATATAGCGCATTGTATGTCCAAACGCATTCATCACAAAAGATTAAAAATAACCTGTTTATCAACACAAGGTTAAATACATTATGATATATTCGTATAATGAAATGATGCAGCTGTAATAACAAATGAGGAAATGCTATATGGATATGGAACAATGTAAAGGGTATGATATTATATGGAATAAATAAGGTTTAAAAGAGATGCTGCTTTGTATAGAATCAATAGCATGCTGCTGTGTGTGGTTGCAGAGGCATGGAGTGTTTAAATTTTGCTTGTATATGCATAAAATATCTTTGGAAGAATAGATAACAAATTGATGGTATGGGTTGATTCTGAAGAATGGATAAGGGATTCCAGGTTGAGAGAAATAATAAGCACCTTTCTAGAAATGAAAACAAATAAGAAAGGTACTCTGGGCTGGTGTGTTTCCAGATCGTGAGGGGTGAGCCTGCCTGGCTCCTCGCTGCGGCCCCTTGTGCACCTGAGTGATTGTACAATTGACAAACTAAGTTGAAAAAAAAAAATCTCAAATTCCTGTATGGGCAAAGCACAACATCTCTTCTGTGGTATTAATTCCTGTTGAAAATACATGTCCTGAATCTAACCATGAAGAGACATCAGACAAACTCAAATTGAGGGACCTTCTGAAAAACAAATGGCCTGTGCATTTCCAAAATGTCAAGGTCGTGGAGAACTAGGAAAGACTGGGGACTGTTCCCAATCAGAGGGGACAGACGGGACATGTCCGCGGGACGCACCATGTGTGATGCCAGATTGGATCCTGGGCCAGAAAAAAGGGGTTTCCTTCTCTGCAAAGGACGGTAATCAGACAATTGGCAGAAGTTGAATGTGGTCTGTAAATTAGGTAATAGTACTGTTTTCATGTTAGCGTCCTGATTGTGATAGTACTGTGGTTATGTGAGAAAATGTCCTGTTTTTAGGAAACAGACACTTAAGAATTTAGTAGTAAAGGGGCTTTGTGTCTGCAATTTACTCTCAAATAGTTCAAGTTAAAAAAACAAAAGAGAGAGAGGGAGAGAGAAGGAGAATAATAACGTAAGCATGGTAAAATGTTACCATTTGGGGAACCTGAGTGAAGAAGTACAGGAATTCTTTGTACTATTTATGCTGCTTTTCTGTCTGAAATTATTAAAAAATAAAAATTTTTTTAAAAACACTTCTGATGTGGAACATTTTATGATTTTGTAATACTGAGCCTTTTATGTCCTCTTGTACAATTTTGTGATTTTCTTCCTATAGATCTTTATATTGTTGGTGACATTTATTCCTAAGTTTCTTAATATTTTTATTCCTTTTTTAAAAAATATAAGTTTTGTTGAGGTATAATTTACATACTGTGCAACTCACTCGGACCACCTTTTTACGTACGCTTAGATAGTACCATTATATAAGGAAGGCATGCTTTTTTTTTTTAAAGACAACTTTATAGGGTATAATTTACACATGATGAAATGCACGTATTTTAATTGAATAGGTTGATGACTTTTGACACATGAATTCCCCATGTAACCATCCCCCAGTCTAGATGCAGGATAGAGAACATTTCCATCTCTCCAGAGAGTGTGCCCCCAGCCCCTTTGCTTATATAGTCACCTGTTGGCGACACGGGCATCTTTTCCAGGACCCTCCGGTGTGTGCAGGGCGAGCGTGTGTGTGGTGGGGTGCCTTCGGCCAGGAGTGAGGATGGTAGCGTTGCAGCCAAGCAGGAGCAGTTTCCTCAGTGGCTCCGAAGAGGCTCCCAGGCTGTTGGACGTGGCTTTTCTGTATCCAGACTTAGGCCCTGACATGGGGTGTTCCAGTTTCTTTTTTTTCTTCTATAGGCCTTATTCTGGTTCAGAGGTTGGAGCATGTGTAGCCTAAGAATGTTTCTCAGCTTATTTCCATTAACAATGGAGAAAATTCTGGCTGGGTTCTGGGTAGTGGTCTTTCTTTTTTTTTTTTTTAAAGAGATGTGCAATTTATTTATTTTTTAAATTTTTTGGCCACACCCCGAGGCACCGGGGATCTTAGTTCCCTGACCAGGGATCGAACCCACGGCCCCTGCATTGAAAGGCAGAGACTTAACCACGGGACTACCAGCGCAATCCCTGGGCAGTGGTCTTTCTGACCTTTAGTTGAATGGTGTTCTGAGAAGTTTGGCCTTTCCTGTCCTGCTATTTAATGGGCTGGTGGGAGGAGGTGTATCAGGCCTGGCTGCCCTGATAAACAGCAGATCTCATGTGACCTTTAAAATGTTAGTGTTTTATCATAATCAGAAGGGAAGATTGATTAAAACATCTATTTTGGAAAATAATAGTGTTTCAAGATGTAAACTTTGTGCACATTGATGTTTAGTTGATGTTTGATTGCTCACTCATCGCCCCTGTATGGACCCAATGGGAAACAAAGTTTATATTTGTATTCACCAAATTGTGGCCCAGAAAATTCAGCTCCCTCTGCCTGCCAGTTTTTCCTCGTTTTGTGACTTTTATTATTCTGCTGTTCATTTTGAGTTGGTGGTATATGAAGTCAGTGTCTAAACAAGTGTGCAGGGACTTCCCTGGTGGTCCAGTGGGAAAGAATCGGCTTCCAAAGCAGGGGACTTGGGTTCGATCCCTGGTTGGGGAACTAAGATCCCACATGCCTTGGGGCAACTAGGCCTGCACGCCACAACTACTGAGCTCTCGCGCCTCAACAAGAGAGCCCGAGTGCCGCAAACTACAGAGCCCATGCACCACAACTAGAGAAGAGAAAACCCACACTCCACAGCTAGAGAGAAGCCTGAGTGCCGCAAGAAAGAGCCTGTGTGCCACAACGAAAAGATCCTGCATGCCTCAGTGAAGATCCCATGTGCCTGCAACTAAGATCTGACACAACCTAAATAAATAAATAATAAATATTTTAAAATAAAATATTTTAAAATAAAATATTTTAAACAAGTGTGCAAGGGAGGGACGAGCTGGCTGAGCAGCAGCGAGTCTTGGTGTGAACCCAGCACTTCCCTGCATTTAACATCTGGAGGCCTCGTCCTTCTCAGGAGAGCTAAGAGGACTGCCGTCAGCATTTGTGATGAAGGTTCCATCCACCTAACTTGTGCCCAGAGCAGAGCAAGTATGCAATACATTGCATCATTATTCCAAATAATTTCTTCATTTTTACCTTTTTGCCCAGGTGTGTAATCTTTCACAAGGCTTTTTCCCCCCTTTTTGTGGTTGAAACTGTAATTTATTAAAATGCATTCATTCAGTTAAAGTCTTGGGTCCTTTTCTCTCTTTTTTCAGGCACGTTGCAGAGAGGCCTTTTTGTCCTTGATGAACACTCACGTGGTAGGCAGATGACTGTCCTTCACCCCGAGCTGCTCTAGGTGCCCAGGACGCTGTCCAGCAAAGAAAGGATGGATTCCAAAGATGAAAGCTCACACGTGTGGCCTCCGGCTGCAGAGCACGAGGAGAATGCCGCACAGGTGAAGAGTGGTCTTCCAGCTGGGCATTGACAGCAGTTTTTTAGTTGGTACAGTTTGCTGACAGCTAGAGAAATAGAAGCTCCTATGCAGTGATGAGTGGTTGGGAGGAAGCTGACTTGCAGAACTGGTGCAGAAGGAACGGGCAGCGTTTCAGCACCTTGGACGCTCCAGCAATGTGGGGTGCTGTGATTTTGCGGAGCTACATACCACTCATGGCTTCTCCGTCTTTCCCCTGTTTTATTGTCATAATCCACTTCACTGCTCCGTTTTATTTCATGGTATTGGTGCTGAAAGCTTCAAACTGGAGGTTTTCTTTATGTTATCCTGGAAAGGGTTTTGTTTCTTCACGTGTAATGAAGTACAAAGGTATGCCTGTAAAGTGAGTGGCTTTTCCTTTTCTTCTCAAATTCAGGATGTAAACCTCTAATTGAAAGTTGTCCCATTGAATCCACAGCTCTGGAGGTTAGTCGCTTATTCAGATGCTGCTGTAACCAGTGATCTCTGCCTTTCAAATTGCTACCCTAACCAGCTACACGTTCTTTTGACTGTTCTTAGCAAAGGCGGACCTCTGCATTTTTGGTATGCATTTGAATTTTGAGAAGAGTCAGCACTCATAGGGAGCCGTGTTTACATGTGACCAAAGTATAACACTTCATTTTAGAGCATTATAATATATATGTAATTTTAATTTAATTTTCGTCAAATTATATAATCATAGTATTATTACCAAAATCAGAAAATTAACATTGAAACCTTTGAATATACACATCTTATTTAATTTAAGTAATATAACAAATTTACAATACATAAAATTGATCACCTGGTATGATTTGAAAGTCTGAGTTTGAATACTGAGCAAAACAGTTCCAGAGGTGCTTCCAGCAGAATAATTGAGAAAACTGTTTTGGTTCTCATGGAAACTATTTGGAAGGCTACTTTCATGTAGCTATATATTTTGGTGTATTTTGTTTATAAACAAAAATGTAGTTCATTAACAAATAGGGTCCACATTTGTGGGTAACCAGATGGTAGACGGCAGAGCTCAGCACCCTTTATTGCCCCCCTCCTCCCACTGTTCCTTCTCCCAACCAGGAATTCTGATTTAGCCCAGTACTGGGTGTTGAAGACCAAGTTGAAGAGTTTGGATAACTCTTAAGGAAATTTTATTTTATTTTTTTTAAGCATTGAAACTAGTTCAAGATTTTGATGTCAATGAGCAAACCTAAACTCATAAAATTATTTTGCAGCACTTAAAACTGCGCAAATATCTTAGAAGCCTAATTCTTGTATGGATGCAAACTGTATCTTCATGGGCAAAGCGGATTTATGTAGAAGCTGGACTAAGCGCTTAGTATAGAAGTGGAGGTTTGTTTTACTTATGTGGTGCTTGACTTCACTGGGTCTCCATTTTTCTTTCTGGGGATTGAATTAGCTTATGTCATCTTCGGGATCTACTATTCTCCACCGGAAAAAAACTGAAATAAAAAAGTTAGGCCTAAAGCCAAGACAGTGTAAGAGGAAGGAATCCGACCTAAGAGGGTCTAACTTCAACATCAGCACATAAACTATTTCTCTTCCGAATGTGTTCTTTGACCATCTGCTTTGTACCTTCAATATCAGATACTAGGCTGTATGCCAGCCTTCAAGAACCTCCAAAGCTGACTACTCGAAAGCACTTTACAGAATCCAGTTTCTGCTTTAGTTCTTGGTAGATAGAAAATTATTTCCCCTGGTGACAACTGAAATAGTTGTCCAAAACCCCTTAAAAGTACTCTCTTAGAATTTTTTGTATTGTTACCTAGTTGGCAAGGGAGAGTTCTGTTACATTCACCGAGTCAGCAAACGTTTACCGACTCGCCTCCGGACCGGCCTTGGAGTATGAAAGAATTTGTAGGAAAGAAAGTGACCTTGTTTTAATGTGTTTGCCAAAAGGCACTGTTAGTTATAAAGTAGAATTCTTATGATGTGTTGAAAGCAACTGGCTTTTGAGTCTTGACATATTTTTTCACATTACAAATAATTTGTATTTTGTAGTTCGGTAATGTTGTCAACCATGCATCTTCTGTCACATTTCCAGGGTCAGTGAACCACCCTGTCAGTACTCCCCGAAAGAGATACCTGCATTGGACATTTGAGGCAAAGGGAACTTTAAATCGGTTGCCTAATATTGAGCAATAAGTCAGTGACAAGGTCCTTGGATCCTGTTGCCAAGTCACTAACTCAGCATAGATGAAGGCGTATCAGTTGAGTTCTCCTTTCAGTGGGGATCTTTTAGAAATGCAAGTGTGTAATGTTCTCGGTCAGTCCTGCGTCTTTGTGAGACAGGTTTTGTTCCACAAGGGTGCTTGCTACATACTTGCGGGTTATTTTTTTTTTTTTTGCCCCAGGTGCATTTTGTCCCAGACGCTGGAACTGTGGCCCAGATTGTCTACGCCGATGACCAGGTCCGTCCACCACAGCAGGTGGTGTACACGGCAGATGGTGCCTCTTACGCGTCAGTGGATGGTCCGGAGCACACGCTGGTCTACATCCATCCCGTGGAAGCTGCGCAGGCATGTGAAGGACTGTGGTTTATAGTTTGTTAATCAGTTAATTCACCAATTACTTAGGTTTACTCTCTGCCAGTCACTGTGCTATTTGCTGGTGATACAGGAAATATTCATATAAGATTTATGCTCTCAAGGAGCTTATAACCAACTGGGCAGAGGAAGATATGGTTTATTTATTTAAATTAAATGTAATAAGGAGTTAGAGCACTAACCTCGAATGAGTTCTTTCCCCAACTGACTATTGATATTGATTTTTTTTTTTTTTTTTTTTTTTTTTTTTTGTGGTACGCGGGCCTCTCCCTGTTGCGGCCTCTCCCGTTGCGGAGCACAGGCTCCGGACGCGCAGGCTCAGCGGCCATGGCTCATGGGCCCAGCCGCTCTGCAGCATGTGGGATCTTCCCGGACTGGGGCACGAACCCGTGTCCCCTGCATCGGCAGGCGGATTCTCAACCACTGCGCCACCAGGGAAGCCCGATATTGATTTTTTTTTAAATTATAAATTTATTTATTTTTGGCTGTGTTGGGTCTTCATTGCTAAGCCCGGGCTTTCTCTAGTTGAAGCCAGCAAGGGCTACTCTGTGTTGTGGTGCGTGGGCTTCTCATTGCAGTGGCTTCTCTTGTTGCGGAGCACGGGCTCTAGGTATGTGGGCTTCCGTAGTTGCAGCACGCAGGCTCAGTAGTTGTGGCTTGCGGGCTCTAGAGCGCAGGCTCAGTAGTTGTGGTGCATGGGCTTAGTTGCTCTGCGGCATGTGGGATCTTCCTGGACCAGGGCTCGAACCTGTGTCCCCTGCATTGGCAGGTGGATTCTTAACCATTGCGCCACTAGCGAAGTTCCTGATTGATTTTATTAACAAGATTATCAGCTTTTACTTTTCCTAAGGTATCAACAACCAGGCCAAACATGGTAACTTAATCAAGACAGATCAGTGAAAACATGCAGATTTTTTCAGTTAAACGAGGGATCCTACTAGCTTATTAACTGCTATTTACTAATAACTTACTGATGTGTAGACCTGTAATAGAAGCACAGGTAAAAACTGTACGATTACAGCTACTTTCATTTTTTTGCCAGTGACTCTGAATATTAGTTTCCAAATGCATGACACGAATATTCCCTAATATATAAATGTTAGTTTGTATGGGACTTCCCTGGTGGTCCAATGGGTAAGACTCCACGCTCTCAATGCAGGGGGCCCAGGTTCGATCCCTGGTCAGGGAACTAGATCCCGCATGCGTGCCGCAACTAAGAACCCGCATGCTGCAACTAAAAAGATCCTGTGTGCCACAACTAAGACCTGGCGTAGCCAAAATAAGTAAATATTTTTAAAAAATGTTAGTTTGTATTGTCAGCACTTTACAGTGTACAAAGCACTTTTAAACACATTAAAAGAGAAATCAGTTCCATGGTTTATAGTAGGATCCTGGTAATAAAAATTTGCCCTCATGCAATATTTAATCAAGAGACTCAAATCGCTCCCAAGAAGACATGGGACCCACCTAATAAATACCTTTCAAATCTACATAAAGATGAACTTGCCTAATAGTCAGATGGTACTTTTGGAATGTCCTTTCTTAGTTTTAGTCCCCTAGCTGTATTAAAATAAGTGCATGTAGATTATGTGAAGAATGTCCTGTGACCAACTTTTGGTTCATTACTGTGTTACTAAATGTCTGAATTATGATAATTTTTTTATTGTCAAATATAAGAAATCTGACACTGGCTGAAATTCTCTTTTACCGTTCTCTGGAATCAACACTTAACCTTAGTTCTTATGCCCATAGGTTTGCTAAAGCCTCGCGCAAATTAAAGTCTCTCAGAAAGAATACTTCTCTGGACTGGAGATTTTCTGTGGTACCCTGGCTAAAATCATTTTGAAGATTTTCCTTCTCCATTTATCTTTGCTGCACCATGGCCCAAATTATGTGTTTATAATCAGAACTTTTAAAATTATGATTTTACTGGCTTTTATCCAAAACAGAATCTGTGGAACATTAAATTCAATTTATTTTCCTTCTACTTCTCTGTGATAATGAGTGTGCATTTATATTTGAAAGAGTTGTAATCCTTGGGAATACAGTACTCTTCTATTTGCCGGTATATCTCCAACTATTTTCATTTAATTGCAAGTCTACCCCTGTGATAGAGTGTTACGTGTTGAATGCATGCCCCCTTGTTCATGGCATGCCTTTTTAATCAAGTGTGACATTCAGTCTCAGGAGAGGCTTTGCTTTAGAGTAAACTCCTGAAGTATGAAGTATGTTAGCCAATAGAGATGGTTAGCTTTTACAATCTCTTTGGAGCCATCTGGATGAAAGGCTTTAGCAAAATGTAAGATTACTATCTTTATCTTCTTTGTTAATGAAAGATTATTACTAGCTACTTGGTAGTTAACTCTCTCAAGAATTGGTGCTTAGCAGTATAATTTTTCCTGTGTAGATGAGCTGTCTAAGGATCTATTGATAAGTTTTTGTTGTTGTTTGTTTAGACGCTGTTTACAGACCCAGGCCAGGTAGCTTATGTCCAACAGGATGCTACAGCTCAGCAGGTAATGAGTTGGTTTTTTGCCTTTTTGTTGATTGTGGGTAATACTGAAGTTACCCTTCCCTGGAATGCCCCCAACCCTCTGTACTGTGCATTCTCTGGATGTCTATTTCTCATGCCTTTAGAATATTCTCAATGTCCATTAATGAAAACAAAGCAGGACATGACACTAACACACTCCAACCAGTATACGTTGCAATAGCGTGGTAATAAAAAAATGATTTGTCAGGGAAATTTAAGCATTAAATTAAAATAAGCATATCAACTGGATATTGGTTCAAGTTCCAAAGAGCAATCCTGAGTTTCAAAAGTGTCTATGGAAATTGGGAAACATTTTAGTACTTGGTATTTTTTTTTAATTATTGAATTATAGTTGATATACAATGTTGTGTTAGTTTCTGGTGTACAGCAAAGTGATTCAGTTATATATATAATATATATATTCTTTTTTTATATTCTTTTCCATTATGGTTTATTACAGGATATTGAATATAGTTCCACGTGCTATACAGTAGGACCTTGTTGTTTATCTATTTTATATATAGTAGTTTGTATCTGCTAATCCCAAACTTCGAATTTATCTCTCCCCCTCCTTTCCCCTTTGGTAACCATAAGTTTGTTCTCTATGTTTGTGTATCTGTTTCTGTTTTGTAAATAAATTCATTTGTATCATATTTTAGATTCCACATACAAGTGATATCATATGATATTTGTCTTTCTCTTTCTGACTGGCTTAGTATGACAATCTATTTTTAAATATTAGGGAAAAATTCCTGCTTAAATTACGTATATATTTAGTGGCAACCTTCCTCATTCTACTTTCAGAGAATTGAGATTCTTCTTGGTTTTCTTTTAAAACATTTCTTTCCTTTTATCTATATTTCTAATATATCCTACTTGACTTTGAGGGACTTCTTCGTTATTTTCCTCCAGGTTGCAAAAGTGATAAGGAAGGTGCAGAAACTAGATATTGTCAGTCTTACCCTCAAGGGAATGTGAATCCAAATAGTTTTATTTTCATGTTGGCTAGTATGGCTGTTATTTAGCTATACCACTGAGTGTCATGAGTAATTATCAAGTAAATTCTCATTAGTAAGCACTTTCTGCTTTTAAAATTTTTTAGTAGGTTATTTGGAAACTTGCATTTTAAAATTTGGAAAATGATCAGCAATTGTGTTGATATTATTTATGAAATCTAGCGAGAATTAGGAGGCTTCATCGTAGCAGTTATGGTTGAATTTATTCCTGACTGGTAGTGACCTACAATTTTGTGGGTCTGCCATCTTGAATGAGAACTTGTCTTAGTTCATCTGGGCCGCTATAACAGAATACCATACACGGGGTGGCTTACAAACAGCAGAAACTTATTTCTCACAGTTCTCGAGGCTGGGAAGTCCAAGACCAAAGTGCCAATAGATTTGTTGTCTGGTGAGAGCCCTCTTCCTGTTCACAGATGGCTGTGCCCTCACATGGCAGAAGGGGTGAGGCTGCTCTCTGGAGTCTTGTATAAGGGCACTAATCCCATTCATGGGGGCTCTACCCTCATGACCTAATCACCTCTCAGAGGCCCCACCTCCTAACGCCGTCACAATGGGGATTAGGTTTCGACATATGTATAAACTTTGGGGAGACACAAATGTTCTGTCACAGAGTTACTATTTTATTTTAGTTATTTTGTACTAATTAAGTTTACTCTTGATAAAACAAATCATGTCCATTTCTGTGAATATTTATTGATTCCACCAAGCAAGCAACGGATAGATTTAATTCATTTTTACAACTTGGAAGGAAAAAAATAAAATGAAATGCCTTTGTGTTTCATAGGTGATTAATTCATTCACTAATATTTGGAGTAATGATTTTTTTTCATAAAAAGTTGAAGCAATACAAAATAAAAGAGAAGTACATTAAAAAACCCAAACAAACAAATTCTGCCCAGGAACATCCTCATTAATTTACAATTGGTAACTATTATTCTAGACCTCCTCCCAGACATAAAACAGACAAAGATAAACAAGCAGGGGAAAATTGTGCCCTAAATGCTATTATTAATCTAAATACTTTAAACTTAAATTTACTTGAGTGTAATAGAAGGAAAGTGAATGGAGGTGAACCGGAAAGAGGTTGGAGTCCTCACGGTTTCCTAACCGGCCTTGGGCTCCGGTCCCCTGTGTCCTCAGCTCTTGCTGTGATGACCTGACATCAGCACACTGACACTTCCTCCCCCTCCTCTCCTCCCCCACTGTTTGGTGTTAGTTGCATTATTATTGTAACTAATGTATTTATGTTCTGTTCAGTAACCACAGCTACTTAGAATTTTGCTCCATTATCTCCTGGCATTTAATTTATACAAATCTTGAGTCTAATTTTGATTATTTTCCTCATTCCTTTTCTATCTTAATGCCTGTTTGAGTGTTTCTTTATCCTTGAAGTTTTTCTTTGAAGTCTAATGACTTCACCAGCATTTGAATCAGAATTCCCTAGGACAGGGTGTGTCCTTTTCATGTATAGGTTAAGACTCTGTTTCGGGAACATTTTCATCTGTTAGGTTTTTGAAAATCTATTCAGTTTCATTTGATATGTTCACTTTTCCAGGAATATCAGTGTGAGTATATTGACTCTGCTTGCTATATCTAACATTCTCTCTGTGATCATTTTTATATCTATTCTTTTCCACGTTATTTGTGTAATTTCCTTTATGTCCCCCATATTTCCTTACTGTTTTTTAAACTTTTTAATTAAATTATAACATACATATGGAAAAGTGCAAAAACTTATAAGCAATAGTACAATGATATATCACGAAGTGAACACACTCTGTAACCAACACCCAGATTAAATAATAGAACATTACCATCTCCTAAAAGCCATCCTCACGCTCTCTCCTAATCACTTCTCCTTCCCTTCTCCTCAAAGGTCACAATCTCCTGCCTGCTGACACTGTAGACTGGTTTTCCATGGTTTTGAACTTTATATGAACAGAATACCTTAGTATGGTTTCCTTTTTGTCTTTTTTTTTTTTTTTTAATTTTTATTTTGGCCTTGCCACTCAGCTTGTGGGATCTCAGTTTCCCCATCAGGGACTGAACCCAGGCCACGGCAGTGAAAGCGCCAAAACCTAACCACTAGACCAGCAGGGAACTCCCCTTTTTGTCTTGTTCTTTGGTTTAACATTCTGCCTGGGAGAGTCACATTGTTCATGTTGTTGGGTGCCCCCGTGGTTTCCGTCCCTTCTATTTTTATTGCTATATCGTGTTCAGTTTTATGAAAGTACCATAATACATCCAGGAGTGTGATCCTCCCTCCACTTTGTTCTTCTTCAAGAGTTTCTTGGCCCTTTGCTTTTCCATACACATGTTAGAATCAGCCTGAAGTTTCCACCGAAGTCCTGCAGGAAACTTACTGGCATTTCGTTGTATCTATAGATCAGTTTGTGAATCATTGACATCTTTATAATATTGAGTCTTCCAATCTGTAAATATGATCTATCCATGAGTTTGTTTATTTTTAAAATTTTTGTTGAAATATAGTTGATTTACAATGTTATATTAGTTTCAGGTATACAGCACAGTGATTCAGTTATACATACATGTATAAATATATGTATTCTTTTATTACATTCTCTTCCATTATAGGTTATTACAAGATATTGAGTATAGTTCCCTGTGCTACACAGTAGGTCCTTTATTTTATTTTATTTATTTATGTTTGGCTGCGTTAGGTCTTCGTTGCTGCGTGCGGCCTTTCTCTAGTTGCAGCAAGCGGGGGCTACTCTTTGTTGCGGTGCGCAGGCTTCTCATTGCGATGGCTTCTCTTTGCTGCAGAGCACGGGCTCTAGGCACATGGGCTTCAGCAGTTGTGGCTCGTGGGCTCTAGAGCACAGGCTCAGTAGTTGTGGCGCACGGGCTTAGTTGCTCTGCGGCATGTGGGATCTTCCCAGACCAGGGCTCAAACCCGTGTCCCCTGCATTAGCAGGTGGATTCTTAACCACTGCACCACCAGGGAAGTCCCAGTAGGTCCTTGTTGGTTATCTATGTTATATATCATAGTATCCTTGAGTTTTAAATAAAAGTTGAAAATTGTCTTCTGGGTAGAGGTTTTTCGATAGATTTATTCCTAGATATTTGGTGTCTTTTGATGGTATTGTAAATTATGGTATGATTTTTTAAAATTTTATTTTCTAAGTTCTATTTCTGACTTTCTTGATAAATAGTCAGGTTGTCTATGATTACTGACATTTTTACTTCTTTCCAATATAAGGAAAAAAATCCAAAACTGGATTTTTTCCTTCTTTCTGATATAAGCATAAAAAATCCAAAGCTGGATTTTTTCCTTCCAGTTTTATTGAGATATAATTGACATATAGCACTGTATTATAAGTTCAAGGTGTACGGCATAATGTTTTGACTTACCTACATCGTGCAGTGATTGCCACGATAAGTTTAGTGAACATCCATCATCTTCAAAATTAAACAAATAGAAAAAAAATTTTTTTTGGTGATCAGAGCTCTTAGCATTTACTCTCTTAACAAGTTTCACATATAGCACACAGCAGTGTTCATTATATCTATTGCATTGTACATTACACCCCTAGGACTTATTTATCTTGTAACTGGAAGTTTTACCCTTTGACAACCTTCATCCAATCCCCCCTCCCCCATCCACCACCTCTGGTAACCACAAGGGGCATCTCTTTTTCTATAAGTTTTTATGTTTGTTTTTGAAGTATAATTGACCGACAATACTGTGTTAGTTCCTGTTACACAACATAATGATTTTTTTGTATACATTTCATGCATTCCGCGATGTCTAGTTATGATATGTCACCACACAAGGATATTGCTCACTGACTGTATTCCCCACACTGTACATTTCATACCCATGACTCACTTATTTTGCAACTAGAGGTTTGTACCTCTTAATCTGCCTCACCTATTTCTTTCCTTCCCCCACCCTCCGATACTCTGGTAACCACCTGTTTGTTCTTTGTCTATAACTCTGTTTCTGTTTTGTTATGTTTGCTCACTTACATCTTTTATTTTTTATTTCTTCTATTGTCCCCCCTTGGTCTGCTGGCTAGGATCTCCAATACATTACTAAACAGAGGTGGTGCTAGTAGGTTTGTAGCTTTCTCATTTTCCTTCCTGATCGCAGAGGAAAAACTTTCACTACTTTACTATTAAGAATGATGTTTAGTGCAGGATTTTCTTTTCTTTTTTTTTGGCTGCACTGTATGGCTTGGCTTGCGGATCTTAGTTCCCCGACCAGGGATCGAACCCGTGCCGCCTGCAGTGGAAGCGCAGAGTCTTAACCACTGGACTGCTGGGAAGTCCCTAGTGCGGGATTTTTATAAAAAGAACACATTGATTAAGAAAGCTCCCTTTATTTATAGTTTTTAATGCATGTTTATTATTGATTGATGTTGATTATTATTCATGGATGTTGATTTTTATCAAATGCTCCTTTTGAATCTGTTGAGATTTTTCTCTTTACTGTTAATAAGGTGGATTATATTAATTGATATTTAAAAGTTAATCCAGCCTCGCATTCTGTAATAAACTCTATTTGATCCTTTTCATATATGTCTGGATTTGGATTTGGTCTGCTAATATTTCGTTTGGGGTTTTATATGTTTATTCAATAGTTCACTGTATTTTAGCCAGTGTATTTGATATTTTTTTTCTTTTAAAGTAGCTTTCATCTTGATGATATTTTTTTCTTTTAATAACATCCTGAAAAGCTACATCATCATTTTTGTTGGCTGTATAGTATTCTATTATGGGGATGTACTATTATTTATATTCTCCATCTATTGTTTTATATGTATGTTTTTTCTTTCTTTCTTTCTTTTTTGCTACTATAAAGAACATTCTCACAGATGTCATATCAGATTATTTCCTTAGAATTTCCCAAAGAGAAATGATAGAGACTAAAGGTAGTCACATTTTAAATTATTTAAGAACTAAGATTTTTGTGAAAGTGAAAAAAGATACAAATATAAAAATCAAACACTTTAAATACAAAGTTAGAATCCTAAATTTGAATTAGAATATCAGTATGAACTCATGACTTTTTTCTCTTAAAAAATATGTTTTCTAGTTCTGGCCACTGAAAAGGTTTAGATGAAGTCATCAGTCCAGTAGCAATGATGTAGTCTCTAACTACAGTTTTCCAATAAAAGGAATCAGGGCTACTTAGAAAAATGACAGATTCTAGCCCTGGGGCAGAAAATGTACAAGATGTGCCTGAAACACCTTGTCTTATCAGAATGCAAGGAAGCGAGTAAAAACTTCTCTTCTGGGGTCCTGGGAAGGAACTCAAGATCTAACTTGTAGGGGCCAAAATGGGAAAATTTGACTCATAAAAAAGGAAAAATATCTACAGTAGATTGAAACACATTAAATATATTTAAAATCCACACGTTCATACTGATATGAAAAGAAATAACTCTTTGGTCACTTTTTGAGGCTCCTAGGGGACCACCACGTTATTAGGAAAAGTGGTAAATGGCTGGAAAGAATCCAGCCTTTCCCCCCGAGTGTCCACAGGTGAACAATCACTTGATGAGGGAAATTTCATTATAGAGGCATCCAACTAATAAAGAAAGGGGGGACGACTGGCTTAGAGTCTCACCATGTTTCATCTCCTATCATCAGAAAAAAGCTCATGAGGCACTTCGTAATGAATGGATCAACTTACCCCTCTGAACATTGTCAGTATCACTAAAAAGAGAGAACATTCATTATAGGGTTCCTGGTGTTGTGTACCTTCTCTTGACATACAGCACTGTATTTTTCCACATAAGAGGTATTCCTCCCCCAAAATTGAACCTGAATCTGATCGAGTGTTTAGATTTCACTGCCAACTAATAGGAAGCACACAGTAAACAAAATGGAACAAGTTACAAGACACACAAGGATGCAGTTAGCACCATCTAGACTGCGGGAAGCAGACAAATTGCAGAGGAAAAGAAGATAAATGGAACTTACAGATTAAAGGAGACTTCAGGGACATAGCAGTCAGATGCAGCACGTGGGCCTTGATTGGGTCCTGATTTGAACAAACCAACTGTAAAAAAAAATTATGAGACAATTGGGGAGATCCTAACAATAATTGGATATTTGGTGATGTTAAGGAATGATTATTTTTTAGATATGATAATAAATAAAATATAAAAGTCCTTTTCTTGTAGAGATATCTACTGAACTACTTAGAGATGAAAATATATAATGTTTGAAGTTTGCTTCAAAACAATCGAGTGAGGGGGAAGGTGGGCGGGAGAACAGTTGAAGGAAGGTGAGCTCTGAGTTGATAATTGCTGAAGCCGAGTGATGGGTACATAACATGTATTATACTATTCTCTCTATGTGATATAGGTTTGAAATTTCTCATTATAAATGGGAAAGTCATTTTGATAGGACTTTCTAAATTGCTTTTCAGATGCTGAAAAAGTTTACATTCCCACCAACAGTGTATGAGATCGCCCATTTCCACACGCCCTTGCCACGTTGGGTATTTGCATTCTTTGAATATTTTGCCAATCTGATAAGGAAAGTGGTTATTTTGTTGCTTTCATTTTAAGGTATCATTTTAATTAGAGGTTTTGTTGCTATTTGCACCTTAGAGGGCCCTTCATCTTCTCCAGTCTCCAGAAACAATCTGCCCGTTTATGTTTTGTACAAAAGAAGATTTGTTCTCAGACAGCTCTGTGAACCCGGCATAACAGGCAGTACAGCCATTGCCTTAGCATCTGTCTTTATTGCAGTTTCCTTTCAACCTGCACGGTTTTTATTTCCGGCTCTAACACCTCAGTGATTATCCGTTCATTCCATGACCTGGATAGATTCTGGATAGAAAGTTAGAGTGAGGGTTTAACATAGATGATGGGTGCTTTTTTTTTTTAATCCTTAGCAAAAAGGTGCTGTTTTTTCAATTGTCTGTAGTGGTGGCAAAATCCATTTGAAACCTTTTTCATATACGCATTCCCTCGTCCGTAAGGAAGGCAAGGGACTCTCCAGACCTAGAAGCACAGTCTCCGCTTTGTTTCTGAAAAGGAACATGTGTGGCTCCCCACACACTGAGAGGAAAATATGCTGCCCTCATAATTGGTCTCAGTAGGAACCCGGAGCATTCTGTTGTGTTTGCTGCTGTCCACTGTAGTTTCATGTTTCACTCTCGGATAAATTGTATACTGAAATGCATTATGTCGTTTCAGAAATAATTACCGAGAGTGATGTTAAGTGGGAAGGAGAAAGTATACCACGAGTTTAACAAATTCCTTTTCCTCTTGCCATGCTTTATTGTGCGTGACAAAATGCATGGGCGTAAACTATTTTTGTTACTAATCTTTTCCTCTAAGTGAAGTTGGCACCACGGCGCCCCGCCCTGCTGCCGGGCCGTTGCCTCAGGAGCAGGTGTGTTACCTCGTTGCTCGTCGCTCCGGTACTCACGGTGTATGCGCTGATTACCTTCTCCTTGAATCGACTCAAGTCCACAGGGGCCATTGTAATGTAGTAGAAAAGCAGGGCAGAGTCAGAATGTGGATTTCCTCTCTGCCACTTAGGAGCTGGGTGGTAAAGTGATCTGGCCTCAGAGGAATTTAGATTCCTCTGGCACGCAGTAAATGTCAGTTGAATTTGAATTATTAATGAAACAAATCTGGAATGCATTCCTACTGTGTGTTAAGGTCCATGCTATCTGAAATACACGGTTCTTACCTACAAATGATTATCCCCACTTTCCATCCCTTTTCAACGGTAACTTGCATGATTCTGGTATATGTTCCACCTGTGCTTTAGCATCAGTCCCTCTAGGAAATGCTGAAGGCTTCAAGCCTTTTCTTTGCCACAGCCTTTGAGGAGAGTTCCAGCCCAGGGATGAGGAGGTTGTCCGTCTGTTTTGATGTCAGCTTTCTCAGCAGTGGCGAGAAGCCAGCAGTAACTTGCCTGACCGCAGTCTTTCTAGCAGCATCTGTTGGGGAAAAATACAGCTCAGCTTCATAGGAGTTAACTCCCAATTGCTGAATCCATTCTTTCAGGTTGGCTCTGCAAAGAGATAAAGAATTTATGAGGAGTGGAGGTGGATATATGCTTTGGTTTGTTCAGTGTGTGATAACATTCATCACTAAGGCTGGCATAAGCTTTGAGTGGCTTAGAGTAAAGGGTGATATCGAAGCTGCGCTCTGAGACAGCAAGTGGGAGCCGATCAGATCAGGGTGCAGAGGGGGTGGCAGATGTAGTTCTGTTGCCAGAAGTCCCTGTTCTTTTGCTTGTTGACTCCTCATGTCAGTGGGCATTTTATTGTTGTTATTGAAGTTGAAGCAGAAGCACCTCCCAGAATTTTGTCCTCCTGTCTACACTTCTGAAAGGCCCTGAGCTACGGATGGAATGTCATGCAAGAGTCTGGCTCCTGGGTTAAGTGAATGCATGTTAAAACACGCATGTGCTATCTGAGGTAACTGATTTTATCTGCCTTCTTCAGCCTGAGGGTTTCCCATGTTGGGCAGTGACCTTTAACTGCCTTGGCAGGTCAGATTCTGTAATATTGTTTCTTTACAGAGTTTGAGAGGTTCTTAGATGCACCACTGAGAAAGGATGTTTCTCTGAAGAGCTGCAGAATGTCATTTCCCGAAGGGCCAGATGTATTTTCACAAACTAATCTTCATTGGATACCTGCTATGTGGCCCGCAGCCTTTTAAGGTTGTAAAGGAAATACATGCTGTCACCTCGGTCCTTAAAGAACTTAGATAATAATAATAATCTATTACTATTAATATTAAGCACTTACTAAATGCCAGACACTCTACTACTGGTCTCATATACGCATTGTTCCAATTAATCCTCACAACAACCTATGAGGTATGTATTACCATGCCCATTTTACAGATAAAGAAACACAGGTTCAGAGAAGTGTGTTAACTTGCCAGCATCTTAATCGAAATCTGTCTGACTCCAAAGCCTGTGGTCTGCTTGCGTGAGGTACAGTTAGAGAGGCAAGCTGGGCTCCCAGGGAAATGCACACGAATTGGCAATGGAGACAAAGCTACGAGGAACAGCTAAGGTGTGACATGTCGGAACCAAGATTCTGAAAGATCTTGGCAGACTGAAAGAACAGAAAAGACAATAAAATGAAATTTACTAGAGATACATGGCCATTTAAGTAAAAATCAGCTATGTAAGTCCTGAGCAGGATTAAAAGGGTTCAGTAGCGCTCTTTGAGCGGACAAGAGGACCCAGTGACCTGCCACTTCCAAATGGGGAGTGCTAGGACGTGGCGGTCTCCAGTAAACGCTGGTGCAAGCTGATGGGGATCCGCTGAGGGGTGAATGGACACAGCAGGACCATGAGCAATGGGTCAGTGCATTAGGGGTTTTGGTCTTGAAGTACTGGAGGAACTGTCTTCATGTGGCACAGAGGGGGCACTTACTTGGTGTAACTCGAGAGGGAAGTCGGGGAGGTCTTGACTCCACGGGAACATCCCTGAGCTGTTCCAGAACCATCCGGGCTGCCTGGTGGGCAGTGTGAGGAAACGTGAAGCCCAGGCTGGACGGTGTCGCTGGGTGGGATTCTGTGACTCCAGGGGCTGCAGAAGGTCAGAGCACAGAGCAGACGCTGTTCCCAGAGAAAGCGGACGACGAGGACGGGGTTTAGACGGTTGCCGAAGGAAGAGCATTCTAGGCGAGGAAAGACAAAGAAAAAAGGGAGTAGGCACTTCCAAACACGTATCTTACTTGTTGGAGGGGGGAGGGCATGGCTTGAGTATGAGTAATGGTGCTAACGGAGCAGGAGAAATGCGCTTGCATCAGAGGGATCTGAGTGGTATATACCCCGAGGCCGCTTATTTAGAAGGTGAGAACTTTTAAGGTACCATTATTTTCTTCCGGTGTATTTGGTAAAGTTAATCGAATCCATGACCCAAAACGTGTCTTATTTGCAAGAGACTAATTTCAGTGTAATGAACAAAATAGGCATCTCTTTCCTTGTTACTTATAAACCTCGGCCTCTGTGAAGTGTGTGACAGGAGAGCTGGTACCCACTGAATTTTACCAACTGCGTCTTGCACCACGTGTTCAATTTTAAAGCCACGTGGTTGAAGGTGGGCCAGATCTTTACCTGCATTATGGTGTGGCCCCCTGCAAAGGCAGGGGGGTCCCCACCCCAAACCAAACTGAGGCTGATGATACCACACATGTTCCAGGAGGGCTTGGAAGGGTTCGTTACTTTCATCTTTGAAGTCTCCGGGGAGACAGGGCAGGCCCCTCATGCAGGTTTGGAAAGGCTGAGAGAGCAAGGAAGTGGGACTTGAGGTGAAGCTGGGATCAGCACGACAGTCCCCAGCACGTGGTCAGGGGCTTGTGGGATCTGAAACTCCTGCTGGCACCGGCGGAGCCCAGATGTTGGGTAGAAACAGCAAAAAAGGAAAACAGATCCCTTATTACAGCCCATAGATGGAAATAAGAGTCATTTCTGCAGGGCCTCGAAGGGAGCTGGCGAGAAGAGTATTGCGCCAAAACCTTGTGTTCTGCGTGTGTCCCAGCTAACCCCAAACAGGCTGTACTAACGTTACGATTAAATGTCGTCCAGGCCTCGTTGCCGGTGCACAGCCAGGTGCTACCTTCACTCGAGGGCGTGGGTGGCTCGGACCCTTTGGCGACCCTGCAGAGCCCCATGACCAGACTGGAGGCCAAGGACGAGGAGGACTCAGAGGACTCGGAGGAGGAGGAGGAGGACGGCGGAGACACAGACCTGGACGACTGGGAGCCTGACCCCCCTCGGCCCTTCGACCCGCACGACCTGTGTACGTAGAGCCGCCTCTTGGGAGCGCGTGTGGGCGCAGGGCAGGCTGGCCCCTGCCGGGGCTCCTGGCGCAGACGCTGCGCCCGGTCTTAGGTGTCCCCCTCACTCCGTGCTCAGGCAGCCTGTGAAGGAGGCCCTGGCTGTCCCTAGAGTTCTGATTGTACCGATGAGCGGACTGTCCCTAGAGTTCTGATTGTACCGATGAGCGGACTGAAGCCCAGGGACCGAGCCTCAGTCTCTGATCCCAGAGCTCCAGCTGCCAGACTGTGATGTGGTCCAGTCCTGGCAGATCCGGCCATTTCCGTTTCCACAAGTTCCCTTCCTGCTTTACCTCTCTTCATACCGACCTGAAAAAATGCCTGTTATAAAAAGACGCCTGTTCTGAAAAGACACCCCAGGCACCAGAGCGCTGCATTTTTCTAGCTCCACTAACGCTCCCCACAGTCTTGTGAGGTCGGCAGCTTTCCCAAGGTCGTGCTCAGTTGTTCAAGAGTCAGGGTTCACACTCGGGTGTCTGTTGGCTGCAGGTGCCCAGGACGACTGCCTGTCCGTCCTGCCTGCTTGGGGGGTGGGTCCTGCTTCCACCCACCAAGCCATTGCCGCTGCCCATCAACTTCGTGCCTAGATGGCAAAGTCCTTATCTCCCCTTGTGAGTTAAGAGACTCTGCAGAGCTTTGAGGTCTCACCGTATTTCCCCTGGACCTTCTTTGTCATGGTGGTAGGCCTGTTTGCATGGGGCCAGTGTTCATCTCCAGGCCCAAAGAAGGGCTTCCTCATTTTGCTTTTCTTTGAATTCATAAGTTTTCAAGGCAACTCCTTAGTCAAATACACAACACACAAGGTCACTTTATCTTATAAATATTAATACAAGATAGCTCTCCATTATTGGAGAACTGTGGAAATTGGAAATACCCATTTTCTAAGTCAGGTCATCACACAGCCAGAGTTGGGTAAACTATAATTGGTTAATTAGATTTGTTTAGGGTCATGAGTATGCTCTCTGTGTGGCCCAGTCACTTTTTCCTGTTTTGTGGCTGTACCTATCTCATTCTGGCAGTGAGCTGACAGATGGGTGACACTGGGAAAGGGGGTGAACGTGGATGCTTAGTGCCCACCGGTCACTCGCAGAATGAGCTGAAAGTACATATCAGGGCTGGACTAATTGTGTCATCCAGGTGAATGAAGGATGGGATGCTAAATTCATTCATTTCAGCATTACCTTCACACAGTACACACGGAAATCTCAAACTCAACAGCGCTTTTTCTGTTGATTTAGACATGCCCAGACAATAAGGCTTCTATAACTCCCTTTGAGGAAACTGATTAAACAGTACTGTCAGGTTTTTAAAAAACAGCTTTATTGTGATATAATTTACATACTATAAAATTCACCTGATTTACATATTATAAAATTCTCATCGGATTTTGCAACATTTAGCCTAAGAAGCTCCTCTTTTCTCTTTTCAGACACGTTATAATTGATTTGTAAGTTTAATGCCACTATTTGAATGAATATCCAACAGAGGAATAAATCACGGCCTGCAAATTATTTCCGGCAGGCCGCAAGCTAATTCTGCCTGATTTTAGAAGAAAAGTACAGGGTTTTAGCGGTCTCTGAGGAGTAATGTATTACAATGGAATGGGTATTGCAGTTGTAGGAGTTCGTTGAGTTTGGGCTGGGAAATTTAGCTTTGGGGATTTTTCAGGTTGGAACTTCTTCCCTGAGACTGTCACGTTGAGGATTTCTCTCTCATGTAGGGTGTGAGGAGTGTAATAACGCACACTCGTCCGTGTGCCCGAAGCATGGCCCCCTGCATCCGATCCCCAACCGGCCGGTGCTGACTCGGGCGCGGGCCAGCCTCCCCCTGGTGCTGTACATCGACAGGTTCCTGGGCGGTGTGTTCTCCAAAAGGCGTATCCCCAAGCGCACCCAGTTCGGCCCCGTGGAGGGGCCACTGGTCAGGGAGTCGGAGCTGAAGGACTGTTACATCCACCTCAAGGTAATTTATGCTTCAACATAGTCCAGTCTCGTTCCGATGATTTTTAAGGGGCACACATTTTCCCACCCAGCCTCTTAATGCAATCTCATAGCAGTTCGCTAGTAGTTTTCTTTCTATGCTTGACTTGTTTCAAATGGAGACGTTTTCTCTCTCACCAGTGACACAGAGGGTACGGTTTCAGTCCCCGAAGTCTCAATGTGAATAATTCTGAGAGGTGTAGTTCTCAGGGGCTGGATTAGTCTGGGAGGGCTGCCAGAATCAAACACGACAGACCGGGGGAGCTTAAAGAACCGATGTTTGTTTTCTCACAGTCCTGGAGGCTGGAAGTCCAAGGCCAAGGTGCAGGCAAGCCTGGCCCCCTGTGAGGCTGCTCTCCTTGGCTTGCAGGTGGCTGCCCTGCGGCTGTCTTTGCACAGGGCTGTCCCTGTCTGCGAGGTGCCTCTGCAGCTTCTCTGTGTGTCCTGATCTCCCGTTCCTATGAGGACACCAGTCAGATGGGATTGGGACCCACTCTTTCAAAGCCCTGTCTCCAAATGCCGTTATATTCTGGGCTACTGGGGGGCTAGGGCTTCAACATACGAATTTTCGGGGGACACAATTCATCTCATAAAAGGGACTCGACAGCTTGTTTTTCAAATTAACTTTGACTGGAGCACAGAATTACGTCGACTCATGTTATCTGTTAAGTGCCCATAACGTTTTTAGGAAAACCTCTTTGCAGTTTGTTTTTTTTAAATTAATTAATTAATTTTTGGCTGTGTTGGGTCTTCGTTTCTGTGCGAGGTCTTTCTCTAGTTGCCACGAGTGGGGGCCACTCTTCATCGCGGTACACGGGCCTCTCACTGTTGCGGAGCACAAGCTCCAGATGCGCAGGCTCAGTAGTTGTGGCGCACGGGCCTAGTTGCTCCGCAGCATGTGGGATCTTCCCAGACCAGGGCTCGAACCTGTGTCCCCGGCGTTGGCAGGTGTATTCTCAACCACTGCGCCACCAGGGAAGCCCCTAATTAGTCGCATTTTTTGTTGTGTTAGTTAATGATGAAATATCAACCAAAGGTGTACACTCAGGGTGCTAACTTTTAGATTTTGCTAAGTAATCCTTCTGTAGGTGAGTCTTCAGAAGGAATCTTTTTCCTGTTCCATTTGGCAAGACACAATTCCAGTATCTTTCTGGATACAAAGGGGAGAATCAGCATATCTGGTTAATTTCAGGAACAATATCTTGTATGTCATTACATGAATATCTATCACATTAGAGGTTTTGTGTATGTGTGTCTTTCTACTTTCACTCTGGTTGCAGGTTTCTCTTGATAAAGGTGACAGAAAAGACAGGGATTTGCATGAAGACCTGTGGTTTGAGTTGTCTGACGAGACCCTTTGTAACTGGATGATGTTCGTGCGCCCGGCCCAGAATCACCTGGAGCAGAACCTGGTGGCTTATCAGTATGGCCACCACGTGTACTACACAACAATCAAGAACGTGGAGCCCAAGCAAGAGCTTAAGGTACAGTGCTGGGTCAGTGGCGCCTTCGCTAGGAATTGCAATTGCTTCATGCTTTTCCTACTTTTCTTTTCCCTTTGCAGAGGGATTCTTTAAACAATGGTCCTTTTCTTGTAATTCACTTACTTACTGAGCACTTGCTGTGTACTGTACACTTCTAATAATCCCACAAATAAAACAGAATGAAAAGTATATGACTTTTGAGATCTATCAAAGGCATTCATGAAGGTATTAGGCCCAGGGGTGAGGAAGTAGTTGTTTTGGGGGCACAGGCAGGTCTGTGTGATTAAAGATGGGCTTACTTCACATCATTTACACATTCTAAGGAAGAGTTAGTTGGGAAACAGGAGATCTTGTAAAATGGAATTCATATGTATGGGCGAGATTTCTTTATCTGAAGACTCATTTTACCCAAAGAATTCTATGCACTGACTTCTGATTTTAGGAATATATTTTTGGGGGATAACACTCTGTAGGAATTTGTCTAAATATTAACTCTTGATGATTAATGAAAATTCCGCTATGATTCTAAGGGAAAATCCCCTCTGCGGCCCCCCCACCCCGTTTTTAAAGCTATGTTAGGAACATGGTAAAAAGAGGGGGTCAAAATATTAAAGTTATAAATGAAAAATATGTTAGAAATGATTGCTTTGGTACACGAACACTCAATAGCACTGTGCCTCAGTGTGGTAAAGTGAGAAATAGATACTTCTTTGGGGGGAACAAAGACCTAGACTTTGTTTAAAAGCTGTACGAACCCTGCGTCTTTGAAACCGTCAAGTTTAGATAATCCATAACCTCCAAAGAAAATGTGTAGAAGGGGATTCACATCTCACACCTGTATTCCAATAAATTCTTGATACTGAATGAATACTTTTTAACTGTGGAGGGGAGATTATTTTCTCTTTTAATGCAGTAGAAGGCAGACAGATACAATTAAATAAGAATATAATAGTTCAATATAATGAACAACCAAAACCACAGATAAAAAGAAAGCAACAGAATGGGGGAAATATTTGTAATACATGTTAAAAGGTTTGCGTATACAAACTGAGAGAAAGTTGTGTGCCTCTAACCTCACTACATCCAGATGGACAGTAAATAAGTATCAGGAATAGACTTTATTTGGGGGAGGACTCAAATAGTAAAGAAATGTTAAAACATTTTTTTGAAGGTTGGTAATTTAAAAACTCTTAAAGCAACTATGAGTTAATATTTTTGTTAATTTAAACTAGCAAAAATAAACAGATATAATACAAGGAGTGTGAGGGTTTAAAAAATAGGGATGTTTGTTTCAGAATTGCAATATTTTATAGAATATTTCTGACAGTAGGCAGCAAAAATGTTCTTGGCTGAGTAAGCCCAATCCTTGAAAATAAGTCTGAGGAAATAATTATAAGCAAAGATAGAGCTAGCTACATTAGAATTTTGTAATTTTTTTGCTGACTCAGACATTAAGATGCACCATTATTTTACACACCATTAAGAAAACAAATACACTGCCAGCTGAGCTATGTTACAGTGCTTATTTTAATCAACAGAAGTAGTTATTTTATTTTTATGGCAGGAGCTATTTTGGACTTATTTAGACACAATTTTGAAATCACATCACACGCATATTTTAAAAGGCACACTATAAGCAAAAGAAATTGGTTCAGGTATAAACTGCTTTCTGTGCAGTCTGACTTTGTTTTCTTTAACTGGATCATTGTTTTACTTTATCATGGATGTTTGTGCTTTTGTCTGTCTGTCATCTTCTGTGCCATCAAGGCGTTGATGATGATGCAGTGTTTTTAGAATAAGTGCTCCTCTGTTACCTCTGCGATATTCTTCCAAGCCACTGATAGCTTTTCTGTAAGTTTTGATGCTGTGCTTTCCCATTGACCGAACCCATATATGTCTTTTTCCTCAATTGAAACACATGTCCTTGGAAGCTGAGAGTTTTTTGATCAAGTCAGTGGGAAGTTTCTGATCACTCGATGTTTGATACCTTAATGAGAGTTCCTCCAGTATGATCACACCAGCCTTGCATTGCTTTGAAATTTCTTTCATTTATTCTGAGGGAGATGGCAGGTTTTTTTTGGCCTTCGTTTGCATTGCTTGGCAAGTGTAGCACCTCACGGGGTGCCAGTGGGACACATAACCGGAATGAGGTGAGAATGGAAAGATCTCGGCCAGGTTTGTGCAGGAGCAAAGGCAGGTGGTCATGGCTACATCAGGGCAGTGACCACAGAATGCCATGGATTGGGAGGCACACTCTGATTTCTGAATTAGAGAATATGAGAAACATACCTCTTGGAATCGATGAACAAGGCAGAATTTATAACAGCAGAATGATAAACTACCTAAAAGTCCAACCACAGGGTCATGGTCAAGTAAAGTATAGAATACAGACTGTAGAATATTATTCCACAGTTGAAAATGAAGTCTCTCAGTGTGATTATTCCCATATGGTTAAAATAATGTTCCACAACAATTGTATATGATGGATTCATTTAGTGACCAAAACATGGAGCTTGTACTATGTTCCAGACACTAGAAGAAGACAGACTGGTGCCCTGCGTTCAAGGAACTTGTCCTCCAGAGGGGAGGTGGGCAGAAAGGTGTAAATAAGCAAATAATATCAAATAGTGGGAAGTGCTGTGAAGGGCACAAAAGGTGTGAAAGGAGCAGATGACAGGAAAGGCCTCAATTTAGGTGTGACGGGGGAGGACAGGCCTTGCTGAGGAGGTGACAGTGAAGAACCCAACATTCCTGGTGGTGGAACAGCAAGGGCAAGAACTCTACATGTTGGAGGAACTGAAGGTGGGTAAAGGAGGGTGGTGGGAGACCTTTGCAGACCAGCGTCAAGCACTTGAGGTTTACTGAGAACCAAGCAGCTGTTGCAGGCCATTAAGCATGGGAGTGAGTGATGCAATCCGACTGTGTTTCCTGAAGACCGCGCTGGCTTCTGTGTGGGGACTGGAATGCAGGGAGCGAGAGTGGAAAAGCAGAGGCTCGTTAGAAAACCAGGCAAGAGCTCATCTTGGTGTGCGTCTAGGTGGGCGGAGCAGACGGAGGACGTCTGAGCCACCGAGAGTTCTTACTGAGGCATTACAGAAGAAAACAGAAATATGGTGGTCCAGGAGCTAAGGCTCCATGCTCCCAATGCAGGGGGCCTGGGTTCGATCCCTGGTCAGGGAACTAGGTCCCACATGCCATGACTAAGAGTTCGCATGCCACAACTAAAGATCCCGCCTGCCGCAACTAAGACCCAGCACAGCCAAATAAATAAATATATTTTAATTTTTAGCTTTTTAGCTTTTTAGCTTTTAGATTTCAAGTCTGAGCAACTATGTGGAAGGTGGGGTATTTACTGAGATGGGGAAGGTAGGCAGGGGTGGGGGCGAGGAGGGGAGCATCTGGAAGTCAGTTCCGGACAAGCGCCATCAGGCAGGTAGTAGAATGTAGGTAGAGGGCAGGAGGGGAGGGTCTGGGATAGAGGCAGTGACCTGGGAGTCATTAGCACAGAGTTGGCTGCAATGGGTGCGATCACCTCAGGAAGAAATAAGAAGGCCCTGGACTTGGACTACGCTTCGAGGAACAGCGCTGTTCAGGGTGCGGGAGGGGAAGGACAGCCAGACAGGGAGACTGAGCAGAAGCGGCCCATGGGGTAGGGCGGAGGAAGAGGCTCAGGAAGGTGGCGTAGCTCTGGTGACCCAGCAGTGTTGGGGTGGAGCCACCATGATCACAGCTGTGGAGAAACCTGTGTTTAAATACAGATAAAAGAATTAGAAGAGGGCTTCCCTGGTGGCGCAGTGGTTGAGAGTCCGCCTGCCGATGCAGGGGACACGGGTTCGTGCCCCAGTCCGGGAGGATCCCACATGCCGCGGAGCGGCTGGGCCCGTGAGCCATGGCCGCTGCGCCTGCGCGTCCGGAGCCTGTGCTCCGCAACGGGAGAGGCCACAGCAGTGAGAGGCCCGCGTACCTTAGAAAAAAAAAAAAAAAAGAATTGGAAGAGGCTCTGCTTCATGCATATCAGGAGACTACTGATGTTATCTCTCGTGAAGTTGTTCTAATAACAAAACCAGTTTTTTATCTTTTTATTTTTTACATTTTATTTATTGATTATTTTGGCCTCACCGCTCGGCACGTGGGATCTCAGTGCCCTGACCAGGAATCGAGCCCGTGCCCCTTGCAGTGGAGGCGTGGAGTCCTAACCACTGGATCGCCAGGGAAGTCCCACAGTTTTTTACAAAGGAAAAAGAAAACACGGAGTGTGTCTTGGCAGGCGAACTTCCGGACTGACCGTCTGCGCTAACGGGGTCACCTTACAGTTCGGCTTCTTTTGTTTGTTTGTTTTCCGTGGGCTGTAGAAAATCCTGAATTGTTTCCTGTGAGCAGGAGGGGGGATTGAAGCACGTGAAGCACATCCGGTGATGCCCTTAGTCCTTGATGATGCACTTGGCTCTTGCAGGTGTGGTATGCTGCTTCCTATGCCGAGTTTGTGAACCGGAAGATTCATGACATTTCCGAGGAAGAAAGGAAAGGTGCTTGGACTTTTTCATTTTTTTTGTATTTTATATATTGATTCTAAATTGTATATATTACTTACATCTTTAGGCAATGTCTAATTTTTCTATCTCTCTGTATTTAAGATATTCTACTAGGTTCTTTAGAGCTGCACATCCCTGTCTAATTCTAGGGTCAAATGACAATGACATATTTACATTTCTTTCATGGGTGCTGGAAAATAGTATTTAATATAATGAAAACCTCCAAATACTAAATCAGGACCTAGATCAGAGGATGATCCCTATCGAGATGTAGTCATCTCTGAACACGGCAAGGTAGGCATTGACTTTGTTTTCAAAGTCAGAATTTACGTACAGAAAAGTGCACGAATCCTAAGTAATGGCCCAATGAATTTTCACAACGTGAGGACACCTGGGCAACCCGCACCCAGATCAAGACACAGAGCGTGACCATGGCCCCAGGACTCCCCTGAGCCTTGTAATTCCTCCTCACTTCCAAGTGTAACTAATCTCCCGACTTCAACACCACAGATATGACCACGTGCTTGTTACCGAACTTTTTATAAATGGAATTATGTGATATGTACATTTCTGGTGTCTGGGAATCTTTTGTTTGTGAGATTCTTCCATACTGTTGTGTATTATTGTAATTTGTTTATTCTCATTGCCATTTGGGTTTCCATTGTGTGAATGTACCGCAATTCACTGATCTATTTCTACCATAGAAATGTGGGCTGCACAATGCAATCCTGGCACTGACTAGCTGGAGTGAGGTCACATTCTGCAGGTCAAGGGCAGAGTCCTCCACAAGGCCCTCCCGACTTCAGACAGCAGTCTCAAGCCCTGGGGGTCCCACGCCCCCTGCACTTCTGACCAGCTAGCTACAATTTAGGGAGTTCCTGCTAACCCCCTTATGTCTGATAATTCCCTAGCACGATTCATGGGACTCAGAAAAGTGCTGTACTTATGAGTACCATTGTAGTATAAAGGATGCACGTGGGGACCAGGCAAATGGAGAGACACTCAAGGCAAAGTTTGGGAGGATCCCATATGTGAAGCTCCCATGTCCTTAGGCCGTGTCACGACCCTGGAGCACTGATGTATGATTACCAGCCTAGGAGGCTCACCTGAGCTTCTGTGACCAGAGTTTTTCTCAAGGCATCATCACATAGGTGTGAGTGATTGGCTCCTTGGCCTGTGATTGAACTTGCTCTCCAGCCCCTGCTCCCCTGCCTGGTTGATACCACCTGGCTCAAAGCCCCAACCCTGTAATCAGACGGTTGGTCTTCCTGACACAGCCAGCCCCAGCCTGAGCCATCTCATTAGCATAAACTCAGGTATGGTCACAGATCGCCAGGAATAACAAAGACGTGCTTCTTACTTGGAGATTCCAAAGATTTAGAGGCTATTTCCCAGGGACCGGGGACAAATGCCAGCAAAATTCTTTATTATACAGCAGGGTCATTTCCAGTTTCTGGCTAACATGAGGGTGCCACTGTGCACATTCTTGCATGTCTTTTAGTGAACATATGTGCGTATTTCTGTTGCGTGCACATCTAGGAGTGGATTGCTGGGTCATAGGGTATACACATAATCAGCTTTAATGGGTACTTCTGAACATTTTGCTAAAGTGATTACATTGGGCATTGATTTTCAAGTTATTTGTGATACAGTATACCATCTGATTATGAAACTTGGATCTGAATCACTGGGTTATCTGCATACAGATTTCCATTGTAGCACTCCTTGTCTTTCCAGTGTGGTAAGGTCGTGTGTGTGTGTGTGTGTGTGTGTGTGTGTGTGTTGTATGTATTGCGGGGTGGGAGAGGGTAGCACAAGGGTGTCTGTTCCTTTGATGTCTTATGCAAATATATCAGAAAACAAGATCCTAAAAATTATTCTCTGTCAAACTTTAGCCTTTGATTTTATAACAGAACAGCAGACATTGCGTATTTATGAACACTGGGCTACGCTGAGATGGGAATGGTGTGGGTACTGGGCATCTGAGTTTTATTGGTGCCTGTTGATCACCAGCCTCCATGGTTTCTCTCCCACGACTGCAGTTCTTCGAGAGCAAGAGAAGAATTGGCCCTGCTACGAATGTAACCGCCGATTTATAAGCTCAGAGCAGCTGCAGCAGCATCTCAATTCGCATGATGAGAAACTGGATGTGTTTAGCAGGTATAATAATAAGGGGGAAGATTTCAAAAGCTTCGTTTTTAAAGTTCCAGGGTCGTTTCTATATCATCTGTGAATTTATGGGTCTGTGTGTGTGTGCGCGCACACACGCGCGCTTGTGTGTAGACAGGTAACCAGGTAGGCTGCTGAAGGACATTTCTTATCCGTCATTTCCTTTTTTCCCCTGGTCCTCATTACTACTTGTGTCTTTTCCAGCATAACCAATACCCAGCAATAGGACATCTTTTCACCTTAGTAAAATCTCCCCTAACTAGAGATTCTGAAATAGGAATTCTTCTGATTTTCAAACTCTTTTCAGTAGTAGGATTCCTTCATCAGACTAAGTCCTATGTTTAATTCCCACTATATAAAAAAGGTAGGTGAAGGAGAATTCCACAGGATGGGGTAAGCAGCAGCTGGATCACATAGGCCTGATGGGTAGTGGCAGGAAATTTGAATTTAATTCTATGTGTGATAAGAAGTCTTTAGAGTCTGCTGATCAAGGGATATTGTGATGTCAGTTACATTTCTAAACATAACTGTGGATAAAAATAAAACCATCACCTTAGCTTGTATTGCAGTAAGAGTGAAGACAGGGAGTCTAGTTAGAAGCTATTTCAACAGTTCAGATGAAAAATGAGAGTGGTTCCGGGCAGAGTGGTCCCAGTGGGACAGATGTAGGGTTGCCAGCTTTTATGTGATTTGAAAAGAGAGGAGATGGTGTGAAATGGCATTTAGGGAAGTGGGAGAGTAAATATTCCGGTGAAGTCCGGTGTGATTGCCTGCAACGTGAGTGAGGGCTCATGTGAGTCACGGCTGTGTCGTTACCAAGCGTCTTTCACTGCGAGGGTGCCGGTGCGGAGCCGGCAGGAAGTCAGTTCACCAAGCGCGTGCAACGCAGCAAGAGTGATGAAGCAGCAGTGGGGAGGGAAGAGCATGTACAAGGGAGTGACTCCAGTGAAGGACCTTGGAGCTTATGAGTGGAAGGACGGAGAGAAAACATGAAGAGGACGCAGGACTGCAGACAGGGCACAGGACTGGACTGGAGCTGGTGGTGAGGCGGAAGGATCGTTGAGTCCAGGTGCCTAAGGGCGTGAGCTGGAAAGTTAGGACACGGTGTAGGAGTGGGCGAGGCATGGCATCAGGACGGTGGGGATTCCGCACCTCCCAAGGACAAGGCTGAGGGTGTGACCACGGGAGCATGCGTGGAGGACACAGCAGGAGTTCCGTCGCTCCCTCCTGTGTATCCCGAAAACTCCGACCATGGCTCTGTTATAGCACTTTTTATATTCTATTGTGAGGTTTGGTTTACATGTCTGCTGCCTCTACTGGACATGTGAGGGTAAAAACTGTTGCATATAACTTACCGTCTTTAGTGTCAAGCTCCATGCATGACACATTGTAGATAAAAATGTTTGTTAGCCAGCTGTTAAAAGAAATTGGAGACAATTAGGCAAATTTGAACTTTGGCTAGATTCAATAAATGTTGAGCAACTATCACTTATTTTTTAGGTGCGATAAAGTTGTTGTGGAGATATGTGTATTATACATACATATATATGTCCTTATGTTTTAGAGGTACATATTGAAATATTTACAGATGAAATGATGTCTGGGATTTATTTCAAAATAGCCTAATGGGTATGTGTGTGTGAGAAGTGGTGAGGCTATAGATGGGATAAAACTGGCCATGAGTTGATAAGTATTGAAATGAGGTGGCGGGTACACTGGCCTCCTTGTGTTCTCCACATTTGCCGAGGTTCGGAATTTCCCATAATAAAGAATCTTTTAATGTGGTGTTTACTGGATGTGCTATGGAACCGGTGAATTAGAAATTTGTTCTGACCTTCCAGAAGATTATAGTAAAACAAGGGCGTTCCTTTGACTCTATAGCCACATTCCATGGAAGGAACATGAGGTGAGCAAGGGGAAGACTGGAATCTTGTATCCAGGACACACACTAGGCGTGTTCTGTCCTGTCTGCGTTGCTCACAGAATGGCAGAGATGTGTGCGAACTTCCAGAATTTTTGGTAGCAAAATGGTGTCGGTGCTTTGACTTTTTAAACCTCCTTTTATTCTGAATAATTTAAGACGTCTCTGAGCTATGTAGATGGCAAAGATGAGAAATTTGGAAAGCGTGTATGAGCAAAGTGATTGTTTCCATTAGAAAAAAAGAATCAGGAAAAGAAATCAAGTGAGAGGAAATCAAGATTTGGGGTGAGTCGGGATCATTCAGGGAAATATTTGTTGTGCAGTATTGTGTAACCATGACTATCTATAACCCAATGTCTTGTCCCCAGAACAAGAGGCAGAGGAAGGGGGCGAGGCAAGAGGCGGTTTGGCCCAGGTCGGCGGCCGGGACGCCCTCCCAAATTTATCCGCTTGGAAATAACCAGTGAAAATGGGGAAAAGTGTGATGATGGGACACAGGTATGGGGGATGGGAAAGCAAGAGCTCTTCTTGGATGCTTGGTTAGAGAACTTATGAGAACCATTACTGGATTCAAATACAAACGCCTCTCAGAGGGTGATGGGCCTGCCTGTCAGGGCTGTGCTGCCTGTTAATTAAAGTCTGACTAGAGAAAAGGCTGAAAAGAACGTTGTTTCAAACGTTACTTACGACGAAAACCCAACTCTGCTGCCCTAAAGGTTTGAAATTGTCCAGAGACATTACCGGGGGACTCTGTTTAATTAGTTTAAACAATTAAAATGATGATATTCCAGAAGAGTCCTGTCATAGTCTTTTCCTCACAAAATGATCTGGAATGTCTCATGGTTTTTACATCCTGTGGATGGTTACCTAACTAATTTTCTCAGAAGGAAAATATTCTTTTCTGAGCATAACGACACTAGTCATTTAAAAAGTAAAGCAGCAATTCTAAATCCTAGCACTAATGTCTATCTAGGTAGGGAAATAATTGCTGGTTATTGCAATTTCAGGACTTGCTGCATTTTCCCACCAAGGAGCAGTTCGATGAGGCTGAACCTGGAACTCTGAATGGGCTGGACCAACCAGAGCAGCCCGCGCTCGCAGTCCCTCAGCTGCCACCGGAAGCCCAGTCTTCTCTGGAGCACGAGACGGAAACGCACGAGCTGCACCTGCAGCCCCAGCACGAGGAGAGCGTGCTGCCCACCCAGAGCACCCTGACGGCCGACGACATGCGCAGGGCCAAGCGCATCCGGGTAAGCGGGATGCCCGCCCCGCCCTCTCCCAGTCCTCCGCCCCGCGGGCGCTGACCTCTGACCAGGCGGCCAGCCGCGTAGGTGCCCTGCCGTTCACCACCACTTCCAAGGCTTGCTTGCATCTAGCCTATCACAGGCTCAAGCCTCTTGTTTTGGAAGAAAGCATGAACTGTTTCTCTGGGTCTCTGGGTCCCGTGGCAGGCTGGCATGGCCGGTCCTAGATTCCATCAATTTAGCAGTGACTCAGAAGCCTGGCGCTTGGCAGCATCCGGACTAGTGTAGTTAGAGTAGAATAACTCTCTGGATGCCTAAACTCACAGATTGGAAATGGAGAGATAAGTACACTGAGTTGTAATAGTTACTTAGGTTGAAGCCAGGCTAATCTGTGCCTAATCATAGCTCTCAAGTCAGTTTGGGGTTTTGAATTTGTTTATCAACGGTTTCCAAGGGGAGACTGGCAAATGCCAGGACCCGTCAGTGCACAGGGACCTGAGTTCAAGTTGATCTGGCAGGTGCAGCGCACACACGGGGACAGCTCGGAGCTAAGCTCCAGGTTCGGGGGTAGGGCAGTGTCTCACCCGCGTGACCCACGACTTGACTTCGGGCCATGTGGTTGCAGGGCCTCCATGGCTGCCTGGCCAGGTGTGTTTTGGCCCTATTTCACTGACAGCGTTGAGTGTGCGTTAGGACCTGCAGGGGATGCATGTGGAGAGCAACGTGGTTTTGTGAGATCAGTGTCTGTGCGGACAGTTGACATCCAGAAAAGAATGACTTAAACCCGTGTTTGTGGTAGCAGGACGTTTAAAGACTTTTCTTAATCCTTTATGCGGATGAAAGAGACTTTTTGTATAACTTCCCAGGCTTTACAGTTTCTAGGTGGACGATCATTTTAGCTTATGTTTCTTTTGGTCTTATTTGCCTATAGGCTAGAAGGGACCTTGAACAATAGTCTAGTCCGTGCCTTCATTTAAAAATACATTTAAATGTTTGTTCTGTATGACAGCGTGGAAGAACTCTGAGCAATCAGGCTAAATAGACTTTATAAGGGTCCTGAAACGGAAACTTATAAAACTTATGGCTCCATGTATATTATTTCAAAAGGATATGTAAACCTACATAAATATACACCAGAAAGGCAAAAGGCTCTGCATACCTTCCATCCGTCATGCCACATGATTCCCAACCTGCGTTTCACTCTTTCTTGGGCAATTACTATCTTTTCTGCTTTGGCCATTCTGATTTTTCACTAGGTCCGTAGAAATGCTTTCTAGATTGAATTTTTTGAAGGGAAAAACTAAAGCCCACATGTTTCGTGAGGTGTGGCTATGTAAGCCTAGTGTAGCCGTGATCGTACTTGTGTTCTGGAATGAACTGGGTTACTGGTTTTGGAACAAGGTTCCTTGTGTCAAAGCAAAAGCCATGTGTATGTGGCTTTTGGAGGTCAGTCTTAGGTGAGCGATTTTTTTTTTCTTCCTCTCACACATTCTAAAAAGCAGGGGCTATGTATTTTTTCATCTTTTCTATCCAGATTGGTAATGACCAACTGAAGGGAAGCCTTCCAACCCCATTGGTAATGTAACTATTTTTCTCTCCTCTAATGCTGCCTGCTCAGTTGGAGCTGCAGGTACGTTTGTTTCCTGTGTTTCACTCACGTAACAGAATGTTATTTAAGTGTTTGCCTGACCTGCTGTTCTTTGCAACCTGTACTTACTAAATCCTGGTGGAAACGACAGTTTGGTTGCTACAGTCAATGCAAATTAGTTAATGAATAATGATAATTTATTTTCAAATAGTAAGTGAGTGGGCTGCAGTTTGCTCATACACAAAATGAAGGGTAGGACTAAGTGATCTCCAAGGTCCCTTCCAGCCCTGAAACAACTGAATGACTTCTGCAGTGGCACCGAGTTCTGACTGTATGTTCAGCACTGCCTAGGTGCACAGTAGAAATTTCACTGGTGTCCTGTCCTCTGGGATCTTCCAGCCTAATTAGGGAGGCAATGCTAATGTAAGGTGGGTCACAGTTAAGTGCTACACGTGAAGGTAGAGCCTATAATTGCTATCAGAAGTTGGAAGAGTGAAAGGCCAAAGAAAGCTGGAGTTGGGGAATAATTCATAGATGAAGTGAGAGTTAAACTGGGAAAGAGAGACAGGAAGAAGGGAGATGGTTTCAGAGGATGGCAGCCATAGCATCAAAGGCCGACACCCAGGAATTGTTTGGTGTGGTTGCTGGCCGGACCTGAGCACGGGTACCACCTGGAGGGTAGTGGAGAGTAGCACATACCGGGCAAGGCTAGCCCAATAGAGGTTTTGGAAACTGGGCAGAAAACAGGCCAGAGAAAAGTTGTTTAAAAAAAAAAAAAAGCCAACAAACATGATTGATTTCCTTTTAATGTTAGGATCAAAATAATATGAAAATTAGTCAGTTTAGGTTCCTTTAGCTATTAACATCAGACTTTAGAAACGTTTTATGGTTTTGTCTGCAAAGACTCTGTTGACTCAGAATTCATCTCAGTGTGAGTCGAATCCCTTGTCACAGGTTTTAGCAACTATACCATTTTGTCACCTTTCGAGGAGCTTATGTTCCATCCAGTACAGAGTGGTTGGCCAACGGCAACTCTGAGACCCATCTGTGCTGCTTCCACCCTTTCTCTTGATTGCTTCTAGAAAATGTGTACCAGTTGCAGCTCTGAACTGCAGAAGATACCATAGAGTTGAAATGGCCTGCAAGTGGGTTGGGGGGCGGACAGTTTCAGCACTTCCACTACCTTGTAATGAGAGGGTTACATTAGGATCATTCGATCAGAGAAACAGCCTAGTTCTTGAGTACTTAGTTCAGCGCTCCATGGAAATCAAAAAGTAAGAACAAGGTTTGCTGATAGAGCTAAGAAAGTGGAGCCCGGCGGCTGCTGGGTTTAGATCAAGGGTCTGAGGACACTCACACTAAACAGAGATGACAGGAGACTTATTAGCATAACGGACTGAAACAAAACCACCATCCAGATTTGGTGCCCAAGGGGAAGTGGAATCTCCGTGGGACCAAGACCAGTTGTTGTGCGTTATGTCTGCCCTTGGAAACTTCACTGAACTTGGGTAAAGGAAATGATGCATTTCCCGAGCACTCTAAATCTTGAATCTCTGAACCTCAGGATAGCATCTGTTCTTTTTGCAATATTTCCGTAAAGCTTGGAAAGTAGCCAGAATCGTGAGAGCTTTTATGTAAAATAAGTATCTGTCCAGATAGGGTAGAAAGATTAGGTGACCGCTAAACCGTATAATGAAGTGAAAGAAAGCTCTGTGGCTGATTTGAAAAAGGTCTGTTGTTTATGATCTCTTCAGGTGGTACAGAAAAGATCTTGAAGTAATTCTTTTTGATTTTCTTATGAAATACATTTCATTAATTTGCAAACTTTTATTGACACTTCCCTTGAGCTCAGCTATTTTTTTAAGAGACCTAGATACAAAGGAGAATAAAATATGATGCAACCCCAGTCAACCTGGGAAGATGATGGAATTGCGAGATATTTACTCAAGATAAATGAGTAGGTCAAATATCTCTCCCAACCCTATGAGAGAAGCCCTGAGAAAGATGTTCTCTGCTATATAGGAACTATGTTCAGAATTTTCACTAAGTCAACAATAATTATTTTGCTTTTTCCCTAAATAATTATTTCACATTAAAGTTACTTCAGAAGTTGCTGCTTGTGAATAATTTGAAATTAGGGGTTTAAGCATTGTTCATTGTACTTTTTTCATTGCACAAATAACGCATTAAGACCTCCATTAATTCTTTAATTACTAGTCTCTTATAGTTACATAAGCATACCCATTCACAGATATATTTTTTTGAGGGATTTTTTTCCCCCCACCTCATAGCTATCTAGAACTTTCCCCCTGGTGTTTTGAGGAACTTATGAATGAGTCTTCATTATAGTAGAACTAAAATATTGATTCTGTATTCTCTGTGTGAAAGATGATTCTGTTGGTTTGCTCTCAGTAGAACATGAGTTGTTTTCTCAGTGGTGGTGATGAATTTGCGCTAAGTAACCATCTTCCCTCACTGGGATTCCCTGTAACAATTGGATGAATTTACAAGATGGCCAATCAGCATTAGAAGTGCAATCTGTGACTGAAAAGCAAAAAAGAGCGAAATTGACTGGTCTAGACAGGGAACAAAGCAATAAGCTTAACCCAATTAGCAAGGCATTCTAACCAGTGGAACTAACCAGCTACACTGAGAAGCTGTCCTCTGCATTTCCTGAGTAGGAAGTGATTAAGGCACATATTCCATTTAGAACGTGTGCTTACATATCTTGTCTCAGCTGCAAACACGTTCATGTAAATCTGTATCTTCGTTCTCTTTCATTCTTTTTCATAAATTGAGATATAATTCACTTACCATAAAATTCACTTTTTTTGTAGTGGTTTTTAGAATAGTCCCAAAGTTGCACAACCATCACCACTAATTCCAGGACATTTTCATCACCCGCGAAAGAAATCCCATATCCGCTGCCTCCTTCCCCCAGCCCTTGGTACTTACTATGCTTCAGTTCTTTTTATTATCTTTATTTTTGCTAAGCATTTTAATCAAGCTTCAAGTTCTTTTTCTCAAAGACTTCAACAAGTAACATTTGGCTGACTCACTCCAACCTCATCATGCATGGGTGACTCAACCCAAGTCATTTCTTCCAAGTCTTCAATTTTTATTCTACCTGACTCTGGGGTTTGTTTTACTCTATTGGCTTGGCCAAAAAGTTTATTCGGGTTCTTCCTGTAACATCTTATGGAAAAACCTGAATGAACTTTTTGGCCAACCCAATGTAAGTCCTCTATTTTTTGAACGTTACTTAGATCCTTTCGAAAGAAAACACACACACATAGACATAAAACAGCACACAAAAGTTTGTCTTTTCAAGACAAACTTCATTGGGGATGGCTTCATTTTTAATGTCTTTACCAGAAAAATCTTTCAACTGTGTGTCCTAGAGTTTAATTTCTGTGGAAAGTCTGTGATTGCAGAGATTGTCCTCTTTTCCTATAAATGTGCGAGCTGCTTACACACTTAACTCACTAAATAATCTCATTTGTGTGTGTCTTTCAGAATGCAGCTCTTCAGCATCTGTTTATTCGGAAGTCCTTCCGGCCTTTTAAATGTTTGCAGTGTGGGAAGGCCTTCCGTGAAAAGGACAAACTGGACCAACACTTGCGCTTCCATGGGCGGGAGGGGAGCTGCCCATTGACCTGTGACCTCTGTAACAAGGGCTTCATCAGCAGTGCGTCCTTGGAGAGCCACATGAAGCTCCACTCGGACCAGAAGACTTACTCTTGCATTTTTTGCCCAGAATCCTTTGACCGCCTTGATTTGTTGAAAGATCACGTGGCCATTCATATCAGTGATGGCTACTTCACCTGCCCAACTTGTAAGAAACGGTTCCCAGATTTTATCCAGGTGAGTGTCTGCTACCGCGATGCCTGAACACTTCCTCTTTTAGGTAAAAGAAACTTCAAGTTTTGGAAGATTGAGACAGCCTGTCATCTGCATTTCCATTCCTTCTTTGCAGCATCTTCTTGGTTGAGCATGATATTTCTTCAGTCAACCTACTTTTGATAAGCAAAAGATTACTATGACCCTTAATTGTCCAAATAAGACATTGGCATTTAAACATATAAGTTGTATTACAAGTAATAAACACCCAGATCTGGTTATAATCTCTAAAAAGTCTTTCTTAATCCTTGCCAATACCCGCTACTCATAAAATATATGGCGCTTGTAGAAGACATACTCCCATTTCCTGGCCTGGAAACATTTTCTCCCCATCACTTTGGTTTCCTGTCTTGTGCTACTAAGGTGATACATTTTGGAAGGAAACAAAGAGAAAGCTGGTATATAACATACTGTTTTTTTTTTAACTTTTTATTATATATTGGAGTATAGTTGGTTAACAGTGTTGTGTTAGTTTCAGGTGTACAGCAAAGTGACTCAGTTATATAGATACATGTATCTATCCTTCTTCAAATTCTTTTCTCATTTAGGTTGTTACATAATATTGAGCAGAGTTCCCTGTGCTCTACAGTAGGTCCTTGTTGGTTATCCATTTTATTTATTTATTTATGGCTGCGTTGGGTCTTCGTTGCTGCGCTCAGGCTTTCTCTAGTTGCGGCAAGCTAGGGCTATTCTTCATTGCAGTGTGCGGGCTTCTCATTGTGGTGGCTTCTCTTGTTGTGGAGCACTGGCTCTAGGCACGTGGGCTCAGTAGTTGTGGCACGCAGGCTCAGTAGTTGTGGCTCTCGGGCGCAGGCTCAGTAGTTGTGGCGCACGGGCTTAGTTGCTCCGTGGCATGTGGGATCTTCCTGGACTGGGGATCGAACCCATGTACCCTGCATTGGCAGGTGGATTCTTAACCACTGGGCCACCAGGGAAGCTCAGGTTATCCGTTTTAAATATAGCAGTGTGTACATACATGTCAATCCCAAACTCCCAGTCTATCCCTCCCACCCGCCGCCTTCCCCCCGGTAACCATAAGTTCGTTCTCTAAGTCTGTGAGTCTGTTTCTGTTTTGTAAATAAGTTCATTTGTATCTTTTTTTTTTTTTTAAGATTCTGCATATAAGTGATTTCTCTTTCTCTGACTTACTTCATTCAGTATGACAACCTCTAGATCCATCCATGTTGCTGCAAATGGTGTTATTTCATTCTTTTTAATGGCTGAGTAATATTCTATTGTATATATGTACCACACCTCCTTTATCCATTCCTCTGTCAATAGACATTTAGGTTGCTTCCATGTTTTGGCTATAATATACTTCTGTATTAAGCACTGACCTCCTCCCCTGTATTATATTCTGGAGCAAAATGGGGTGAGGATAATTTCCAGAATATTCATGATTTCATTTGGACTTCAAGTGTTAATATTGTTACATGCTAGTGAATGAACAAGTAAGTCTAAATATCTAGTAAAAATATTGTGTCTCTCTCTCTTTTTTTTTAAAATTACCAAAGCAAGAGGAGACTAGGATTTAATCATAGTTCTGTTAGTGTTGGGAGTCTTGGTAATTTTCTCACTTTACACAAACAATTAGAGAAGTTGCTTTAAGGTGGAATTTAATGGCACAAGAGACTCCAAAAATAATGAAGGAAAATGTCTTGCAGGAGTGGTTTGATATGACTCACTACTTAGCTCCCATCCATAACTCTTCTTTGCTGGGTATTTATGGCAAAGAGAGTTCAGAGGCCATATTCCTTTGTTTAAGTTATCTAAAAGTATAGGGAATAAGTCCCAATTAAGGGGAAATGATGCTGGTGTTGTGTTTTCTCATATATGGGTAATGTGTTTTCTCCCATCTAATTCATGTCTTTAATTCTTCAGAACCTGATTTGATAGAAAGATGTAAAAGGACCAGTTACTACAAGGGGCTAAGTTGCTTCTATACATGTTGGAAGCAGGAAAAAGTGAGAAGGAATTATTTTTTGTCCTCTTATAGGTACTTTTTACCAAGATTCATTTAAATCCAAGGGAACTCTTGCTTTTAATCTTGAAAAAAAAGGAAAGAAAAATGGGTTCCACGTGATCAGGGCTTGGACTAAGCGAACATTTTCTTCTTCCTCTTCAAGTTCTGTGGGAGGTCGAGGTTGGTAAGGCTTTCTGGCCTCTGCGATGGGGATAGTGTTACTGAGGCCCGTTATCAGTCACACCTGATTGGCTCCCAGGCCAGGTTGATGAAGATCCACGGCACGGCGTTTGGCTCCCTCTAGCGTCGCTGAGCTGCCTTTGGTCATTTCCCCTGACTTTCTGTGTCCTCACTGCCAGGTGAAAAAACACGTGCGAAGCTTCCACTCGGAAAAGATCTACCAGTGTACGGAGTGCGACAAGGCCTTCTGCCGCCCCGACAAGCTGCGGCTGCATATGCTCCGGCACTCAGACCGTAAGGACTTCCTGTGTTCTACGTGTGGGAAGCAGTTTAAGGTAGGAACCAGCAAGCAGCCTGGGCGTTCTCCGGCCGCTGAAACTGACAAGCTGAGGGTGAGCCTGCTCATTTCACGGGTGTATCATCTATGCTCAAAGAGCAGACTTGAGATGTACTTTGGGCCTCATGTTTGACTTAGTCGTTAAGATAAAATTAAGGGGAAAACTCACCTTAATTTCCCAAAATAATTAATTCAAACCCCCAAACAGAGTACTAATGCATCTTTTACAAGAATCCAAGTGTATAACGAATAGAACTAAATTGCTATCGAGGAACTCCTAAGAGGACAATACATTTACCCACCAAATTTTGTACTGAGCCCTTATTAAGTGTAGGAGCCTGATAATTGAGCCCTGGGGCATGAGGACTGTCATCCAACAGAGGTGGGAAATCTGTGGGATGTTGAGAGGGCTTAGACTATTTTGGGGAATGTTAATGACTTACAGGATTAAGATAAAAAATAATAAGTATCAGAAATGGGCCTGGAATTTAGAAGAAAACAATGGACAAACCCACGGGAGACTCAGAGATAAGAGTTAAACAAATGAATGTGAAAATGATAAAATATGGTTCGTGGGGAAACCAGATGATTCTGCAAAGATGTCCCTGAGAGACACTCTGCAGAATATGAGTAGGTCATGCTGTCATAGAAACTGGAAAAGAATCCGAAATGGATTCAGGAGGGGAGAACTAATTTTAAAAGGAGGCATTTGTGTAGAGTGTGGAGTTGGTGGGGATGCCTGGCGTTGCACCTCTGAACTTAGCATGGTTCCAGATACACGGTGGTCATTCAAGAAATGTTTGTTAAATAAATGTGCTGAAAAATGAAGTAGTTACAGAAACATCCTCGTACCAAAATGTGGAAAGAACTGGTCTGGTAGAAAGGTTCAAAATCTTTCTAAGACCGATAGCAGTGTAATCGTATGTCCAGGAGCAGAGCCTCACTGGATAAGCGAGCTGGCATTTTTGGAATTTGTTTTTATTCAGGATGGGCTCTGCTCCATTTTCTGTCTGTGGACTCACATCAACATGTATCACTAGAAGATTAGATTATCAGACTAAGAGCTGTGACCTAGACCGTGTGCCCCATCCATAGCAGGCAGTGTAACTGCTTACTTGAACTGCTAAATTTATATGATGAGAGATACTTACTTAAATTCATTTGGGATTTAGAGGAATGTCATTATGTGTGTTAAAACATGTGGTAATTGAGAACACGCATGGCTTTGTAAATCCAGTATTACCTACCATCCATTATCAGTTTGTCTTGTAGTTCTTTTTTTTTTTTTTTTAAACTTTTTGGCTGCACTGCAAGGCATGTGGGATCTCAGTCCCCCCGACCAGGGATGGAACCCGCAACCCCTGCAGTGGAAGTGTGGAATCTTAACCGCTGGACTGCTAGGGAAGTCCCTGTCTTGTAGTTCTTAATACCAAACTTATTCCACGTGCCCTTTGATCACTTCTACATAAATGTAAAACCTTTCTTCTCAAAAATCATTGTGTAGTTTTCAAACTGGATGGTCATTTTCAAGCAAGGCTCATTGGAATGCACTTACTTGCTAGCGAACAGAGTAATTCCCAGCCAGGGTTGCCGTGTCCTCGGATGTAGCCTGGTGGGTTGTGTTACTGCTAACTTGTATTGATTTTTTTTTTTTTTTACCCCTTCAATTAAAAATCTTCTACTCCCACTCCCCACCCCTCTGCCTTCTCAAAAATCCTCTCTAAACAGCGAAAAGACAAACTACGGGAACACATGCAGAGGATGCACAACCCTGAGAGGGAGGCCAAGAAAGCTGACCGCATCAGCCGCTCCAAGACGTTCAAGCCGCGCATCACGTCCACCGACTACGACAGCTTCACGTTCAAGTGCCGCCTGTGCATGATGGGCTTCCGGAGACGAGGCATGCTGGTCAGTGCCAGGCTCCGGACCGCCCGCCCCTGCCCAGGCGATGGCTCTGGCACAGTATTCGGCACTAAACCTGTCACTGGGTTTCGTCCCTGGCCGGGGACAAAGTGGAGGCGAACAGTTCCCAGCCTGGGGCTTCTCTCCCCCCTGGTCACCCCTTGCTGCCTTTGCCATGGTTCATTTCCGGTGTTTCTCGGAAGAGGTCTGTTGATCACTTTTCATTGCTTGTTTTGCTTTGCTTTGCCCCTCTCCGGCTCTGCTCTGTGCTTCCTCTTCCTGTTCGCTCCTGTGTTCCTGAACGTACTCTCTGGCGGGGTCGTTGCCTTGCAGCCCCCCCACACCAGTTGTTCCAGATATGACACAGCAATAGAAGGGAACTTTCCACCAAGGCAGGGTATGCGAACCGGGTTAGCTGAAGCACCAGGAGAGCCGGGTCTCCGCTCTCAACTCACTGGGCCCTGATGACAGTGTTTGCAGAATATATCTGTATCTCATTCAACGTCCTCGGTAAGGCCAGGGCACTGAATAATGAAGGAGAGGCTTGCATCAGGAGAATTCTCGAAAGAAATTCCTGCTAGTGTGATTTTCCATTTTTCCACCAGCAGCTCTTTCAGTCAAAGGCTATCGGTGGAATCCACAGCAACCCAATTCACCTTCAGTGATTTGCTGAATTACTGTTAACTCCTGTTAATGCGTCGGTGTCAGAGGGTCCTGGCAGTGCCGGTTGTGGCCAAAGGCCTCATGTTTTGGGGTGTCGCTTCAGAGAGTTTCAGCTGCTTGCACTCAGTATCGGAGGTATTTGTTCAGCGTCTGCTGGTCACGGGGTCTCTTCTTCTCATTTGCTTTTTTTTTTCCTTTTAGGTAAATCACTTATCAAAGAGACACCCAGACATGAAGATAGAAGAGGTGCCAGAGTTAACTCTACCCATCATAAAGCCCAACCGTGACTACTTTTGTCAGTATTGTGATAAGGTAAAAGGAAACTGTCCATAGGAGGATACCTCTGTGGGAGCCCCGCTCAGGGCCAGTTTGTCTGCATGTATATATATATATACTAGGATCTTGCAGTTTCTCTTAACAGATGGTTCCCTGTCTCTCAGTAGTCTCCCATTCAGACAAGAAAGGGCTAGGAGTGCAGCCTCATTTTAAGCCAAAATTTTTTTCTTAAGAATTAGTCAGCTCTGTTTTTCTTGTTCCTTCTCTCTGTGATTTTTGCCGTTAAAGAAGAGGCTTATTACCAAGAGCTTAGTATACGAATTCATTTTAAATTCCTAAGCTCTAAAATGAGGGTGTTTGTCATCCTACTTGTAAAGTACAGAGTAGATTTTGGATTTCTAGGAGATTGAGTAGGATGTGAAAAAGTCTTGTGGTGGAATGCTCTGTTTGTACTACTCCATTCTTGATTTTTGCATAGTTACAAAAAGCACAGGACTAGAATATACATTCATTGTTTCATTGTAATATTGTCTCCTTATACGATGTCAGCTGTATCAGTTATAAGCTGTGCATAAGTAGTGTCAACTTAAAAGTAAGAAACAGGGCTTCCCTGGTGGCGCACTGGTTGAGAGTCCGCCTGCCGATGCAGGGGACACGGGTTCGTGCCCCGGTCCGGGAAGATCCCACGTCCCGCGGAGCGGCTGGGCCCGTGAGCCATGGCCGCTGAGCCTGCACGTCTGGAGCCTGTGCTCTGCAACGGGAGAGGCCACAACAGTGAGAGGCCCGCGTACCGCAAAAAAAAAAAAAAAAAAAAAAAAGTAAGAAACATTTTTTAAGCACAGATTCACCACTACAGGTTCTAGTTGCTATTAGACTTGCCATTTTGGAAGATTCTTTGGCATCTAGTAGTCAACTATGTACGTCACATGAGAGCTTTCACAGAAAGACTAAAGGGTGAACTGGCCTTAAAAGAAATTGTTTCTATGACTGTATATTCACCTCTTAAGCTTCAGGGTAAAGGTAAAGGTGTTTTTACTATTCCTATCTTAGATGTATAAAAATTCAAGGCAGATGCCTCACATATCTATGTTATGTTCTTACGTTATTCTGATTTATGTTATATCCCCATTATCCTTCAGCATATCTGTTAATATATTTTAGTTTGGACTACGTGAATACTTTCTCTCATTTCCTTGTAATGAAATTGTTAGATTGCCTTAAGCCAGGAAGTGGAAGTATACACTGCTTCCATGGCAAAGCTCTTGAATTTGCAGGTTTATAAAAGTGCCAGCAAGCGAAAAGCCCACATTCTGAAGAACCATCCTGGGGCTGAGCTCCCACCAAGCATTCGGAAACTTCGTCCCGCTGGCCCTGGAGAACCAGACCCCATGCTGAGCACCCACACCCAGCTCACGGGCACTATAGCTACCCCGCCCGTGTGCTGCCCTCACTGCTCCAAACAGTACAGCAGCAAGGTACGGGGAAGGCTTTGGACCACGTCGAAACCAGGATCATGGTTTAAGGGAACATTGCTTAAGAGAAGATGGTACTTATCCAGATGCCGTGATGGCATCTTCTGAATTGATGGGGGTGCTAAAGGAGCTGCTTCCTGAGAACAGGGAGCATAGCACAGAACGGGAAGGGAATACGGTGGACTTTCCCGGGAATTAGTACCATCCGACCACTTGAATGGTTTCCTTTGCCCTTGGCCCGAGGTGGGGCTCCGATTTGAATATTCCCTGCTCGTGGTTTATGAGCTCAGGCTTGCAGCAGCGCTACATAAGAACTTAAATGATGGTTCTTGAAAAGGGGGTCATTGTTGCTGCGGGGGAATGCAGTCATTGATTGCTGCAGGTATTGGTGGGATCACGGGATGCTGTGAGGTATTCTGACCTTGCCTGATAGCGTGGGGGGGTCACACAAGCCTTTACTTTCTTTCCAGCGTCTTCTTTTTTCCCTTTCATACCATTGTCCCGCTTCAGGGAGGGCAGGCAGAGCCAGTGTTACTCTTTTTTTTCTTTTAAACATAACATGAAGGACTATAGGAAACATTGGAGGGCTTGCATTTGAGAAAGATCGAAAATAACCTATTCTAGTAATTCTTCTTGGTTTTCGCCATAACTTTTCAGACCAAGATGGTACAGCACATTCGAAAGAAGCATCCAGAGTACGCCCAGCTACCCAACACCATACACACACCTCTGACAACAGCCGTGATCAGTGCGGCTCCAGCTGTTTTAACTACAGACAGTGCTACCGGAGAGACTGTGGTGGTAAGTGTGTGACCGGTAAGAGCGACTCCTGTCCTCTGCTGCCCATCACAGCTTCAGTGCCAAGGCCATGTCTGTCTTGGTATTTAATTGGCTGCAGATGTAGCCCACCGCCCTTCAGGGTTCTATACCAGGCATGATGCTTAACGATTGGGTCTCCCAGTCGGTGCTTTCCAAAGCTCTCTGTAAAAGGAGTAGCAGGAAATTCTCAGTGCTGCTTGTTCACTTCAAGATTGTCAGAACTGGGCCTCCCTGGTGGCGCAGTGGTTGAGAGTCCGTCTGCCGATGCAGGGGACACGGGTTCATGCCCCGGTCCGGGAGGATCCCACATGCCGAGGAGCGGCTGGGCCCGTGAGCCACGGCCGCTGAGCCTGCGCGTCCGGAGCCTGTGCTCCACAACGGGAGAGGCCACAACAGTGAGAGGCCCGCGTACAGCAAAAAAAAAAAAAAAAAGATTGTCAGAACCTCCGGGGTAACTCCCTGGGCCTGACAGACAGACAGCTAGAGGTATATAGGTAATCTTCCAACACCTTCTTAACTCTGGGTATTTTTCTATCCGAGCTCAGGGCTTATTTGCGGTCCCATGATCCCACCAGTTAGACAAACCAACTTTTTGTAGGATTTCAGAGCACTGAAATAGCCACAAGCAGCAGTGTTATCAACTGATGTGCTTTTTTGTGATTTTTGCAGACAACAGACTTGCTAACCCAGGCTATGACAGAACTGTCCCAGACCTTGACGACGGATTACCGAACGCCGCAAGGGGACTACCAGAGAATCCAGTACATTCCTGTGTCGCAGTCTACATCTGGTCTCCAGCAGCCTCAGCACATACAGCTTCAAGTGGTGCAGGTGGCCCCGGTACTGTCCTGCGTTTATTTCTCTTTACCTGCGTGAATGCCATATTGCCACCAGCCAGCACAGCAGCTGGGGTCAGCTAAAACACCTAATTCTCAGAGCTGGGGCTGGGCCCTACATACTGTGCATGTCAGCTTGGGGTCTAAGGCATTTGTAAAGCCCTGGCTGTCGAGGGCTCTGGACTCAGCAGTGTAAGAGATTTCTGTCAACAGTGTCCAGAGATTTTCGGCTCCAGTGTGTACCACTATCCTGCCCTACTGCAGGCCAGCACTGAGCCTCTTCTGAACCCTTACCCTGGGCACCCAGGTGGACTACTTGGTGAGGAGCCTGTTTGATCAGCCCCTACCCAGGCATCAAATGACGTCTGTCAGTTGGAGGTTGTAAGGAATAATTGTGAATTTTGAATATCGCTTAGTACCTTATTAGTAGCAAGTTATAACTGTTCCTTCTACAAGGTAATTAATACCTCATTCTTACTGATTCAGGAGCTAAAAGAAAAAAGTCCTCCCAGAACTATTGTTTCATTTAATTATACTAAGGAAATGTACTCAAGGCACACATAAACAAACGTTTTGCTTTGAAATAAATTGGACTCTGAAAATTTAAAACTAATATGAAAGCAGAAGGAGGAAGTTGCCACTGTCATTGACTATTCTTTATCTGTTTTTTTTTTTTTTTTTTTAATAGGAGCGTTCTTAATTTTAGGCTTTGGAGGAATCTATGAATCCCTGAAGTTGTCTGTAAATTATGATATATATGTACATTATTTTAGAAAAAGGGTCTGTTGTCTGTGATACATAAAAGGTTAGGAACCACTGTTCTAGTGGTTAAGTGTGACAAGCTGAAAGCGAATTTTCTCCTTTGATCTCTTTTAACTGACAAAGGGTAGGCCATTAAAATTAATTGAAACTTAAGGGAAAAAAGATTTTTGATTCCTGAGAGCTTCTCAGTCAGCTTCTTATTAGGAGCTATATTCCCTCATCTCCTCCTCTTCCAGAATGAAATCGCGTTACTGTCTTATGGTTAATAAGCATAATTTTTAAAACTATTTTTTTCCCTGATGCTTGGCAGCTTGGCCCCGGTGTGGGCCCTCCGGGAGTGAGCCCCGGCTCTGAAGCCCTGCCTGTTCTGCTGCTGGGATGTTGTTTTAGCTACACCTTTTCTCTGGAAGGCTTTCCTTTAACCTTAATCAGCGTGGGTCTGGGTTTCTCCTCCCGCAGGCCACTTCCCCTCACCAGTCCCAGCAGTCCACGGTGGACGTCGCCCAGCTCCACGACCCTCAGACCTACACACAGCATGCCATCCAGGTGCAACACATCCAGGTCACGGAGCCCCCCGCCCCGGCCGCGCCCACCTCCCAGGTACGCTGCTCCCACTGACTACTCCAGGGACTAGTCTCAGGTTCATGTGGCCTCAGGGACCCTGAAGATGTACTAAGAGCGAAGACATGCAATCTTCACACCTGGTCTCCTTGACTGTGGAAATGATATCATTATTTTGCGGGCCTTTAAACAGTCTCACCTCTGCCTCCAATTTTTCTGTTGGTATTAGGGATGCACTTCCATTAAGTGCTTAGCTTCCCCTGTCCAGATGGAGCCCTGGGCTCTGATCTCCTAGAGACAACATTGGCCTTTGCTTCCTGTTCTAAATGGCTATATGACAGTCGGCAATTGCTAGGCTGTTTGTATAATTTTGGAACAGTGACTTTGTGGAGTATTACTGTGTTTGTGTGATAGAGACTATCATTGAGATCACAGAGTTACATCCATTCAAAAATGTTTATTAAATTCTTACTCTTTGCAGGAAACTTTTCTAGGTCTTGCCCTCAAGGAGCTTAGCGTCTAGTAGGGATATAACACCTATATATAAGTAAATAGGGCATGAAATGAAGGTATCTGAGCCATAAAGGATGCCTGTAGACCCACCCCTGACATTCCCAGGTTCCAGAGCACAAATGAAGGCCTGCATACCATCATCCTGAGTGGTTAAAAGTTTCAATCAAGTTCACAAATCATTAAATAAACATGTTCTGTCTTCCCTGCTTGACATAGGTACTTTCATAATGATAAAATTGAAAAATATACATAAAGTAACAATGGCTACTAAATAACATGGATAGTGCCAATTCAAAATTAAATGCATTTTTCTGCCAAACACATGGTTGGCACTGGCAGCGGCCCGGTATGGGTGGGAGGAATGGAGGAGAAAGGATGTCTCTCTCTCTTTTGCTGGCTCCAATTGCTGTGGAATCCATAGGATAAACATGCACTTTCTCTGCCTTCCTATTTATTGGGGGGTGGGGGGAGGCCTGACATCTGATTGCCCCTCCTCTCCACCCCCCCAGTAAGGTTTCTGGTGACTTCTCCCAGCCCAGGACAGGCAGCCTCTATCCACAAGGGGCCGTGAGTTTCCCACGCCCACTAGCTTCACACTTCTAAGTTTCTCAAAGGAACCCAAGGCTGGAGGGCCAGGACAGACTCAGTTCCTTGTCAGGATGAGGTGGCCCAGGGACAGCCGCCCCCAAGCCTGCTTCCCCTTTCTCCTCACTCAGGCTCCTTCCTGCACTCACAGGGCCTGTGTACCACGTGGACACCCCATCCCATGTGTCTCAGCTCCATCCACACCCCTGCAAATGGTGATCCATGGCCACCCCTTTAGTCCCAGGTGCCCGAATACCGTGAGAGGGGCCACATCCAGGAGACAGGACCCCTGCAGTAGGCCAAGCCTAGGGAAGAGACTTGTGTGGGTCCCAGAAGTGGGTGCAGGGCCATTTCCAAGGTCTATGAGGCCTCACGTGAGAAGGGCACAGCTGGAGAAGGGCCAGCCAAGATCCCTGCAGGGGTCCCTCTTGCCTGGGTCTGAGGACCACGTGGATGTGTCATTAGGTTAGCGGAGTACAGGTGAGGGAAAGACGGTGTTTAGCAGGGAATCAAGGAAAATTTTGTAGAAGTGGTGTTTGAATTAGTTCTTGAAGGAGGGGTATGATTTTGATATGGTAGCTGGGGAGGCATTATGATCTGACCATACTCTCACTGTGAGTAAACACACAGAGGTGGGAAATTGTGGTGTATTTGTAAAGACTGTGTAGGTTAGTGACAGGAGATGGTGTTTGGAAACAGCACCGGAGCTGGAGCGTGGAGGGCCTGAATGGCAGATAGATAGTGGGGCGGGGGCTTTATCCTGTAGGTGGGATGTATCCCCGTGTTTATCTCCACTAACTGGGGGAGTATCCAGTGCACATCAGTGGGGATTCTGACTTCCGGATTCTACTTCAGTTTGTGTTACAGGTTAGCTTTGTGACACCGGCAAGTTATTGGGCTTCTCAGGGTTTTTTTTAATGTAATGAAGATAATTATACTTTCATTCATTTACTTTTATAACAAGCATACGGAAATTAAGTTTTTGGATACACTTGTAGATAATCCTTTGGAAACTAGGATTTCCTAGTTATGATTGCTTGTCATTAATTCTGTTCTTTTTAAAAATATTACTAGTTTAGCAGTGCTCCCTTCAGTGTTACAGTCCTCATGATCACGATGTACTTTCTTCAGTGGCTAGTTGACACTTTAACGCATCCTGGTCTCTTTTCTCTCGAGGTGGCAGGGCAGCCACTGAGCCCCTCCCCGCAGCAGTCTCAGCAGGGGCTCAGCCCCTCCCAGGTTGCAGGCAGCTCCTCGCAGGGCCAGGCCCTCCAGCAGCAGCCCCAGAGCACCACGGTCCAGCACACGTACCTCCCCAATGCCTGGAATTCCTTCCGCGGCTACTGTAAGTGAGGGTGGCCCTCCTGGGTGCGGGTGGGGAACCTGCAGCCACGGGGAGGAATTTCATCAGCTTTATCATCCATTTTATGGCTTAAAGGATCATTGGCCATTTTCTACGCTCTGCAGAACCTGTACTTCAGTGAGTTTCATGGCACAATTCAAGGCGGCGTCTGATTCAGGGCCACCCTGAAATGACATTTTTCCAAGACTTCAGGAATATTGCTGGAGGAAGTGTAGGCAGGTGGTTTAATAGAGTAGGTGGATTGAGGGTATGAGGTCATGATTCACCTCTTCCACCAATATTTACTGAATATCACTGTGCTAGACCCTGCATGTACGAAAGATTAATACTGACATTCGTATAAGTAACACAACACGATAATAATGTTAGCCAACCTTCATCACGCTCTTACCATGTGCCAGGAATGATTCTAAACTGCGTCTGTATCACATCCAGTGTTCACAACAACCTCCTAGGAAAGTACAATCGTCACTTGCATTTTACAGATAAGACAACTTAGACGCAGCGCAACTCGTCCAAGGAACATAGCTACTAAACGGAGGCCTGGAACCCAGGCAGTCTGGCTCCAGAGTTTACACTGTAAACCAGCCCACTGTGCTGCCCCTCCTAACGAGATAGTCATGGGCTCACAGAGACGATTATCTCGTGGAGATAGATATATGAGTAGCTGATTTCAAAACCCTGAGGTTAGTGCTACCAGAAGCGGTTTAGCCTGACTGCCAAAGGTCAAACACGTAAAAAATCTTGGTGAGGACAACAGCCTTGGGTATGAGCTGAAAAGTTTGAGACCCTTATCATTGAAGATCTGGGAGAAACAGTAACAGTTAGAGCTCAATAGTAGGAGCTAGGAGGAATAAGGGCTGTGTTGATCTCTCTCCTACCACTGATTTCTTTTTTTGGGTCCATCTCTGCTGTGATTGATCTTTGGCTGTGTTATGTAGATCTGGTTGTGGAGACCAGGCTCAAAGGCTACCACTTAGTTATCTTTACCATCTATTCTCCTAAATATTGGCGGTCACGATGAGAGCTGAGTCTAGTTTCTGTCAGGGAAGGACTCCCCCTCATGATAAATCCCAGTAGAATCCTGGTAAATAGATAGACATTTATACTCAGTTTAATTCCTATGAGAGGAATGTGGAAATGATGCTGACAGCCACTGTAATAATAGTAAGAACTAGCATTCTAACTTGATGAAACAACCTGAAAATTTTTATTAGGAAAAAAGTTTAAAATGTACAAAAATAGGGAATTCCCTGGCGGTCCAGTTGTTAGGAGTCCATGCTTTCACTGCTGAGGGCCTGGGTTCAGTCCCTGCGGGGGGAACTAAGATCCTGCAAGTTGCGCGGCACGGCCAAAAAAATACGTGTGTGTGTGTGTGTGTGTGTGTGTGTGTGTGTGTGTATATACACACACACAGACACACACACACAAAATAGAACAGTACAATGAGCGCACCTGTACCCATTTTCCAGCTTCAGCAGTTATCATGGCCAGTCTCATCTGATACGTACATGCTGTCATCCTCTCCCAGTCCTCCAACTATATAATAATTCATACCATTTCATCCATAAATATTTTTTTAAAAACCCCACAACTCTAAGTGTCGTTATCACACCTAAAAATAAATTACAGTAATTCTTTAATACCATCAAATATCCAGTGTTCATATTTCTGTGATTGTCTCATAAATGTCTTTTTTTAAAAAATATTTTATTTATTTGTTTATTTGGTCGTGCTGGGTCTTAGTTGTGGCAGGCGGGCTCCTTAGTTGCGGCAGGTGGGCTCCTTAGTTGTGGCATGCAAACTCTTAGTTGCAGCATGTGGGATCTAGTTCCCTGACCAGGGATTGAACCCAGGCCCCCTGCCTTGGGAGTGCAGAGTCTTAACCACTGCACCATTGTGGAAGTCCCATAAATATCTTTTTAATAGCTGGTTTTTCAAATTGGGTTCCAAATAAGGGCCATACATTGCAATCGATTTTACCTTTTGAGTTTCTTTTAATACATGTGTTCTCCTTCTCTCTTTTAAGTTGCAATTAACATGTTGAAGAAACTGGGTCATTTGTTTGTAGAGTTCCCCACATTCTGGATTTTGCTGTTGACATCCCTGTATTGTCATTTAAGATGCTTTCCTCTGTCCCTTTTATTTCCTATAGATGGGCAGTTAAACCTAGAGGCATGATCAGATTCAGGTTCAGTTTTTTCCCCAAAAAACACTCCATAGCTGTTGGTGTGTAGTTCCATCGGGAGGCACATAATGCTTTTCTGTCTTTTTCCTTTGCTCCACTATTTCAGTAGGGATTGCAAAGTTGTCATATTCTGTCATTCTTTATACACTTATTGCTAGAAAACTTCCATAACGAAAACAATTTTACCTTAACCATCAGGTTACTCTGAGGTACAATTTGTACAGGAACGGCAGAATAGATGCTTTAAATACTTGGCTCATCTCCTTTATTTAGCAGTTTTCAAAATAATGAGTTGTTTCCTAGTATTATCCAAGGTGACCAATGCCGGGCATGTGTGTTTTAGTATCGCTGGGTACTTATGAATTTCAACCCACTGGATGTGTTTCAAACCACTGTAGTCAGGGCTTCCCTGGTGGCGCAGTGGTTAAGAATCCACCTGCCAATGCAGGGGACAGGGGTTCAAGCCCTGGTCTGGGAAGATCCCACATACCGCGGAGCAACTAAGCCCGTGCACCACAACTACTGAACCTGTGCTCTAGAGCCCGCGAGCCACAACTACTGAAGCCCGTGCGCCTAGAGCCTGTGCTTCGCAACAAGAGAAACCACTGCAATGAGGAGCCCGTGCACCGCAACGAAGAGTAGCCCCCGCTCGCAGCAACTAGCAAAAGCCCGTGCACAGCAACAAAGACCCAACACAGCCAAATATTAAATAAATAAATAAATAAATAAATCCATTGCAGTCATTATCCTTGTTGATGCTCAGATTATCCCATCTTTGGCTAGTGGGAACATCTTTCTGTATCTTTCCCACATGACTCTGCAGTCTTTTATAGGGTCTTACACGCTGGTATGACACCAGATTCCATGCTCACCTTGTACATTTCTGACCCAGGTTTGGAATCAGCCATTTTCCCAAGAAGTCCTGGTTCCTTTGAGTAGAGGATGTGATTTAGAGGCTGTCAACTGGGTGCTAGGGTGAACTCTGTTTTTAATTAGCTTTAATCGCACGGTAGTGAAGTAAAATTCATGTTAGACTAAGTTGTGATCGCTAGGCAATAGTGGATACATTGTGCCAGTAATCAAATGTGACTGTAAAAGATAAAAATATTGAGCTAACAGGTGAATCTTTGTAACTTCTCTCAAGGTTTTAAAATTTTTGAATATTTGTCTTTCTGGATATTCAGAAGCCACATTTGAAGGAGATGCATTGATTGTTTCCGACATTTGGTAACTCTCTACTAGCCTCATGTGATCAATTCTTAAGCAGAGGTGCTTTCGCTGTATCAAGAAATCATATCAACATAAGACTCTCAAAGCAAGCAAATCCATGGAAAGTGACTCAGTAGGGAATATGGTCACTGCTTAGGTATTTGTTTCTACAACTTGAATGAAAATCTGAGACCATTGAACTATGGTTCCTTCTTGTTTTTCAGCATCGGAGATTCAGATGATGACGCTCCCCCCGGGTCAGTTTGTGATTACAGACAGTGGCGTGGCAACTCCGGTCACCACTGGCCAAGTGAAGGCGGTGACTCCAGTAAGCTGTGCTGCTTGGAGGGTTTTCCTGTTCCCCACGCTGCACCACCCTCGCCCTCCCCCATCTTCTCCCAAACTCTTCACATCTGAGTTAGAGGCACCTCCTCTGTATTCCTATAATTTCTTGTGGTGCTGTATTATAGCACAGTTTATTTTTTTTTAAATTTTATTTCTTTTTTACTTTCTTCTTTGAAGTGTAGTTGATATACAATGGTGTGCCAATCTCAGCTATACAGCAAAGTGACTCAATTTTACGTATATATACATTCTTTTTTACATTAAAAACTTCTGTATTTTTTAAAATATTCTTTTCTGTTATGGTTTATCCCAGGAGGTTAGATATAGTTCCCTGTGCTATACAGAAGAACCTTGTTGTTTCTCCATTCTAAATGTGATAGCTTGCATCTGCTAACCCCAAACTCTCAGTCTGTCTCTCTCCCTCCCCAGCCCCCTTGGCAACCACAAGTCTGTTCTCTACGTCTGTCAGTCTGTTTCTGTTTTGTAGATAGGTTCGTTTGTGCCATATTTTAGATTCCACATGTAAGTGATATCATATGCTATTTGTCTTTCTCTTTCTGACTTACTTCACTTAGTATGATAATCTCTAGTTGCATCCATGTTGCTGCAAATGGCATTATTTCATTCTTTTTTATGGCTGAGTAGTATTCCATTGTATATATGTACCACATCTTCTCCATCCATTCCTCTGTCTATGGGCATTTAGGTTGTTTCCATGTCTTGGCTCTTGTGAATAGTGCTGCTATGAACATAGGGGTAGCACAGTTTATTTTAATTATTGGTTTACTATCTTTTCCCAGTAGGCAATTAATTCCTTGAAACCTAGGTCTTTGTCTTTATCTCTTTATCTTCAGTGCTGTTGCACAGGAGGCTGGGCTATAGCAAATGCTCAATAAAGATCTATTCAATTAATAACTATAATGAACCTCCTAGATCCATATACATATATATACATGTAGATAAGCATCTTTTTAATGTGCTTCTTAGAAAGTATATGAGTCTTTGTGACTATTGGTCCTCAATGTTGATTATATCTGCTACCTCTGTTTTTATCTTCACTGGTTTCCTCTGGCCTGCCAATGTTGTCAATGTTGATTATATCTGCTACCTCTGTTTTTATCTTCACTGGTTTCGATAATCTCTAGTTGCATCCATGTTGCTGCAAATGGCATTATTTCATTCTTTTTTATGGCTGAGTAGTATTCCATTGTATATATGTACCACATCTTCTCCATCCATTCCTCTGTCTATGGGCATTTAGGTTGTTTCCATGTCTTGGCTCTTGTGAATAGTGCTGCTATGAACATAGGGGTAGCACAGTTTATTTTAATTATTGGTTTACTATCTTTTCCCAGTAGGCAATTAATTCCTTGAAACCTAGGTCTTTGTCTTTATCTCTTTATCTTCAGTGCTGTTGCACAGGAGGCTGGGCTATAGCAAATGCTCAATAAAGATCTATTCAATTAATAACTATAATGAACCTCCTAGATCCATATACATATATATACATGTAGATAAGCATCTTTTTAATGTGCTTCTTAGAAAGTATATGAGTCTTTGTGACTATTGGTCCTCAATGTTGATTATATCTGCTACCTCTGTTTTTATCTTCACTGGTTTCCTCTGGCCTGCCAATGTTGTCAATGTTGATTATATCTGCTACCTCTGTTTTTATCTTCACTGGTTTCTTCTGGCCTGCCTCTGGAAGGCAGAGTGTGTAAATTAAGAAAAATACTCTTAAGTGACTAGGGATATTGAGATGTTCCCAGGGGAAGACTATTTCCCAAGAGGCCTCAAAGAGTAGCAGGGTAGTCTAGTGGCCTCAGAAACCGGATTTATTTATTTATTTTTCAAAGCACACTGAGAGCTCACCCATTTCTCAGCACATGAATTCACATTAACTAGACTTAGGAGAGATGTATAAATCCAGAGTAACACTATTGTCAATGGAAACAATAACTAATATAAAATGGAATAGTCTCATTGGCATGATCAGTGAAATTTTTTGCTCTTTGTGGGGACTCACTGACTCTACCTTTTTTTGGCCAGGAACCCGTTTGGGAAACCGATTATATAGCCAAGGATGTTCCCTTCCATCTGCCACAGTATACATACAAATTTGATGTACAGTTTTGTTTATAGATTCTCTGAAGCCTACCTATGAACTGCCTAGGTGTCCGTGGACCCTTGGTTGAGAACCAGCTCCCTCCTGCTAGAGAAGGACCCACACAGGAAACCAAATCCTGATCAAAGAGTGGCTTGATGAGTGTGGACTCAGAACATATGGCCCTCGATAAATCAAATGGGTATTTGGCTGTGGCTTTCTCCCTGGACAGTGCTTGGAAAGGATGCTGCCAGAGTTTTCCTCTGTGACTTCTTTCTTTCTCAGCCTGTGTAGCTGACCAATTCTCCCTCTTACAGACACATTCTTTCTTTAAAAATGTTAATGTAGGGACAGAGTTAGCTGCAGGTCTATGGACATGTTTTTTTCATGATCAGAGGGAAAATGAAGAAAAGTTAAGACAACGTATGTTTTCATAAAGTTAAATTTATTCAGTGCAAAAGACTTTTATTCTAAGATTGTGTTCTTCCTATGCTTTTGAGTGTTAAAATGTCCCTCATTTGACAGTAGCATTTAAAAAATGATTTTACTTGGCAAAATAAAATTTGGGAACATTTATTCTTACTTTAATTTTGCTGGTCTTTGAAATTCTGAAGTCTGGGAACCACTGATCCTGACTTGGGCATCATTATGCCTCTTTAAGGAGAATTTAAATATCTCTCCTTTGATCCATTTTGTATTAATCTTAAACATTAATTGACAGATAGTCACCTTATTTTATGAATTTCTAAATTCTCAGGGACAATACCATAGCACATTTCCTTTGCCAGGTAGGTTACCATCATGATGCAAATTTCTGTCCCTGAAGTTCCTCATTGTATCATTGGGTACGACCAAGGTGCTCCCTTAAGTTACCTCTGTAGTCTACTTCTCTAAAGGAATTAGGCAAAGCATCTCCCATAGGCACCTAGTTTGGTTCCCCATGTAACATTTCTTTGCATATTCCTTCTCCCCACCGTGCCCCCATAACTCTACCCCCCACTTTAGCCCTCAGATTTCTAAAGATCTTTTTCTTCCCCCTCTAGGGTCATTATGTGCTATCAGAAAGTCAATCAGAATTGGAGGAAAAGCAAGCTTCTGCTCTCACTGGTGGAGTCCAGGTTCAGCCAACTGCACATGGTGACTTGGACCCCCAGACCACCAGCCAACAGCCCACCCAGTACATCATTACAACCACCACCAACGGGAATGGGAGCAGCGAAGTGCACATCACTAAACCTTAACTTCCATCCTTGAGCCAGAATCAAACAGTCACATCATGTCTTTTCTAATTCATATGTCTGGAACATCTGGAAGCTTCTGACACTTAGAACTCTTTTTTAAGATTTATCACTCAAGAGTTTGGAAATCACAGTTTTGAGGCTTATACATACACTGGGGCTTATTTTATCAAGGTCATCTTTACCAGATGGACTCTTCAAACCCTAGGAGTTTCTGCCAAGGAATGGAGATCTTTCAGGGGAAAGTAGATTTCAAGACAGAGAAACCTTGCCTTGCTCTTGAGTTGGTTTTTTAACACATAGATAAGCCTTACTTTTCCTTTGTGGAAATATTAAGCAGTGTATTGTGTTTGTACCAAAGGTGGATAAAGGATGTGCCAAGTCCATGGCCACTGGACTTGTTGATTCCAAGCCATGGCGCCAAAGGCGAAGGTGCATTTTATGGGCGTGTATTAGGTCACAACTGCTTCATCTTGTGAGTTTGCATTCTCAGTAACTTAACAAAGGGAGCCCATTGAATATGAAAATTAAAATGATGAAGCAGAGGTTTCATCAGTGATGGTCTGAAGGAAAAACTGTTACCTAAATTTTTCTTATTGCTGATTTTTAAAAAACTTGCCCTTTTTGGAAAACCGTTGTTGGGCTATTTTGGTAGTGCTTTCCACAGACCCTGGCCCTCAGTGGACTAGGCCAGAACCTCATGTTCTGATAGATCTTACTTTATTACTCCACAACTGTGGACTCCCTGTACAAGAAAAGGATGCTTGGTGTCAAGAGAATTTAGACTCCCAGGTTACAGGTTGGCCTCCCATTCTCTGGTTGTACTTGTATGAAGAAGGAGATATTGGAGATGACAGTAGCAAGAAAAATGATTGATACTAAAACAATTATATAGAGCGTAAAAAGCACTGAGACCTTGTCCTGCCTTTCAGGATCCATTTACCACTCATAGGTAAAGGGTGAATCCTTGCTCGTACGAGGTGTACCTGCAACCCTCGCTCACAGCATGCAGTGTATTTTAGTACTTCTAATGCTGTCTTAAAATGAACATTCTTTCAGGTTGGATGGAAAGGTGGTCCTCCTTATTGCTTAACACTTTCAACTTTAAATGTATTACAATTCATCTGGACCTTTTGGTAAGATGACTAACTTCACACCTAGGGGAAAAATAAAAATGTGGGGACCATTTATAATACGTTAGAGTAATTATAAGGGATCTGGAAGGAATCCGATCTTAATATTACATTGTCAGTTGGGAGAGGGAGAAAAACTGCCTCAGTGATAGCTTTTCTTATCATTGTTCCTGTTTGGAACAATGGGGAAAATATTTCCCTTCTTTTTATTGTACATTCCAGTTGTGCACATAAAACACTGCAGAAATCAGTATGTAGTTTAACAACTTTTTGTGACATACTAATACATTTTTAGAATAATTATGGCATGGTAGAATTTATCATTCCAGAACAGAAAGACCTACCTTCAGTTTCAAATGAAGTTAAATAATTTATTTTATTGACATTTCTGGGTAAAAACTGGTTCTATAAATTAAGAAGTATAGTAGCTTCTTTATGGTAAAGATACCTTTTTGAAAAGTAAACAATTCTGTGAAGTAACTTTACTAATATGTAGACTTTGCACTTTATTATTGAGACCTCATTCATTTAGTTATCCCTGACAATTTAGGCACTAAGAGAACTTGAGAGTTACTTGGTAATTGTGTAGAAAATGAAAATGGACTCTATATCTTTGGTAACAGAGGTAATGCTGATGTTTTCAATAGAAAATATTGACTCTGTGTCACAATATAGAGATTTTTGAGTCCCAAAGTCCTACAATGTGATGATTATAAATATCCTAGTGTCCAGTCTAGAGAGACTTGCTAGGTAAAAGCATATTAGACTTTCCCAAAGGTCCAGTTTAGTTTTTATAACTTAAATTTGGTCCTGTTGGTTCCTTTTTAATTTGAACCAGCAAGGTATTCCTCCCTCCCCTCAGGAATAACTCACTGATTAAAATGGAAAACTATCACTGAATGGAATGTTCATTTTATGCCAGTTATTTCAAGTTTTAAAATACACAGAAGAGAAAAAGGATTGCGGAAGGACCTCTGTTTCTTTCCCATCTAAGTTCTTTTTTTTCCCCTTTTGTTTTTGTGTCCTTATGTGGAATACGGCTCTAAAACTAATTTGTATATTATCAACCAGAGATGCAGGTGTGGCAGTCAAGCCAAACAACATTGCTTTAAGATCAGGTATTCTGTATATTTATTCTAAGGTAATGGCTTTTCAAAAGGACTTGGATTTGAAGACATGGCAGATTATAAGCCATCTAAAGACCCAATTTGGAAAAAATGTCTGTAGCCAATGTTTATACTGTGGCCTCGCCTAAGACGCACTGGCACTGTAGACTTGGATCAGTGCAGTGTGAGCATTTTGGAGTAGGTTACATAGAGATTTTACATTTTTACTGTTTCATTTGTGCCCACATAAACAGATATTTCATCCTGTAAAATTCCTGTTATTCCGGAGAAACCTATTGTTTTGATCTTCTGGAATTGTTTTCTGATTTGGAATTATCCTTTCAAAAAACTCTTAAGATATGTAGGGCTAAAAAGCACTTCATGAGATGCTGAAGCTGACCCACAGGTTGAAAATGTTGACCCTATCCTGTTATTTAAATGTGAACATTTACTGTACATTCAGTGAGTTATAGTGTTAATAGTCTTGTGCTACTCAGCAGGTGTAAAAATTAATAAATATTTTTTTTAATAAACATCTTTCTGTTTGTATGTGTACAAGTTACAAGAGCTTCTGAGATCATTACTTTTTTTTTTTTTTAAATAGTACAACTTACATTGTTTTGACTCTTTGGTTCACTCTGGTGTGGTCAGAGACATAAGGTCAGGGAATTTATGGATGGTAATATGGAATGATGTTCCCCTCCCCTTTTACTTGGTGGTTTCTAATTCGAGGCCCCTCCCAACAATCTAACAGGAACTAGGGGCAGGCACTCAGCCAGCTCGGGAAGAGCGATTGGCTTTATTTGGAAACCACTATTTGCCAACCAGGGAGGAACACCAGCTTGACTGACATGTTTCCATTTAGTGGAGAGAACTGAGGATGCTCTCGCACAGGCCGTGGTTCGCGTTCTCCTCAACGAAACTCGAGAAATCGCAAAATGGGAACTAATAGTGCACACAGCTGTGGTACAAAGACAATGATGGAAAGTGCTCAGCCTAGTGCCTGGAGCAGGCTATGAGATATGCAAACGTTAGCTAGTAACTAGTTAACGTTTGCATATTCACTCACTCACGGAGCTCACGCATGGGCTCCGGAGCCTCAATTCGCGGCCAGGTGACTAGCGACACCACCCTCCGGAAGCTTCTAAGCCAGGTGAGACCAACGAGACGCCTGCAAACTGCATCCCAAGGCCCAGCCCCACGGCCTCACGCCTCTCTAGGTTAGGCCCCGCGAGCCCCGCCCCGCCCCATGCAGTTCAGGCCCCGCCCCTCAAGCCCCGCCCCTTCCGCCGCCCGAGCCCGGAGCGTGCGCGCACCGAGACGCCTTGCGGGAGCGAGCGCGTCAGGGAACCCGCGGGCCGAGAAGCGCAGCGGGTTCGGAGACCAGCGCCCGCGGCGCAGGTAAGGCCGGGCCGGGGCGGTGAAAGGGTTAAAGTGTTGCCGGGGAGCGGAGGGAGGGAGCGAGCGAGAGTCTGGGCCTTCGAGGGTCGCTGCTCCTGTGGGCACGGGACAGGGGAGCGGGCGTGTCGGGAGGCGGGTGGCCCGGGTGGGTGGGGGTTAGAGTTAGGCAAGGTGTTGGGGGAGGGGCTGTGGGCGCGGAGGTGCGGTTTAGCGGGGCGGGACCCGGGCCTCGGGCTTGTGAGAGGCCGGCTAGGGAGGGGTTTGCCGTTTGGAGCCGGCGGTTGCTCCGGAAGGAGTCTGGGGTTTGGCTTCTGAGTTGGGGAGGGTCCAGGCGGGAAGGTTATCCCAGGTGCAGAGGAAAGGCCGTTGGGAGAGGCCTTCCCGGTCTAGTAAAGATGGACCTCTTTGGTCCAGGACGCCGCAAGACTTAGAAGTCCTTGGCTTCCGGTTTTCAACCCTTTGGAAGCTGCCTGCTTTTTGTATTTTGAGATCCTCTTCAGAATAGCAGCAGGGCACAGGTTGCCACTCGAATAGATTAAATTTAGCTACACGTTCACTAATTGAAGTGAATTGAAGTGAAGCTAATTGAAGAAACTAGCTTCACTAATTGAAGTGAAGCTAATTGAAGAAACTTGTGAGCAAGTTGTGAAACAGGTGATCCTCCTGAGAGTCAGGTAAAACACTGGCTTTGCAGCTCTTACCCTCTTCCGTGCCAGTTCTGGCTATAAAGAGGACTTTATTCTGAGCATCAGGTTGCATCTACACTTCTTTTCTTTTTAAAAGTTTTGTTAAATGCAAATGCCATGTGCTTTCTTACCTGCAGTCAGTTCTTTACGCACCAGGGGTGTTCAGGATGCGGTAGTTCATCGTGTGCTGAAGGGTGATGGGACACAGTTGCTTGGTGACGACGCAGCTGCTTTGAACACTAATCTTTCCACTGTACCTTTATGTAGATCTGACATCTCTTCCAGATAACTTGAAATAATTAGTGCAAACGTGCTTATTTTAGTAGTAGTATTACAAGTCTACTCTTTATCATTTGAGAGTTTCAGGATGAGAAGTCATTACGTGACTATGTGAAGTTATATAAATGCATCCATCTGGAGGTTATTCATTGCAGGATTCCAGGATTGGCAATAACAGTAGAGAGGACCGGGTCCAGCTCTCCTTCATCTTATATAGATAAGGAAATTGACAGCCTGTGAGGTAAGATTTGCCCAAAGTCACTGAGATGAGGCTGGGAGTTTGGTGTTTTATCTGTTAAATCTGTTGTGTGTGTTTTTTTTTTTTTTCTCCTTTCTATTTGGTAGAAATCAGAGAGAGAGAATGGTTTTAGCAAATGTTTGTGGAGTGGTTGAATTCAGCCTCCCTGTGGCCCTGTTAACTGTGGCTTCAGCTGTGCACCTGATTCCAGCCATCAGCCTTATGAGACGCTCTCTGAAAAAGTTTTCCTATGTACTTTTCTAAAGGTAGCCAGCAGTGTTTAGTTGTTACAGGAAGGAGAAAAATAGCATTTCATCTACATGGTTATAAGTATCAGCTGGACCAACTAAAGTGGGTTGGCCGCTGACTTTGCTGGCTGTCCTGGTCAGGTGCTTGGATCCTACAGAGTTTATGCGGACTGACAAAGTCATATTAAGGTGCTTGCTTTTCCTGATTTAAACTGAGAGTTTATCCAGGAGGTGTTGTATGTAGTGTTAAGAACATGGGTTTGCAGTCATGCAGACTTGAGTTTCAGTCCTACCTCTGGGGTTGGGCAAGTTGCTTATCTATTTTGATCCTAGGTTTTAGTATCTGTGGAATAGATGTAATAACCCTATCTTGCACACTTACAAGAATTAAATCAGGTGTATGAAAGGCCTGGCACTCAACAGGCCCTCATTAAATAACTTAGTGTTACTGTCTGAATTTTACTACTCTGTGGATTTTCAGTGAAATTTCTTTTGTGAAGGAACAACAGCTAAAAAAAAATAATAAATTATATTAGAGTGAGAGATTATTGGCCTGGGAAGTCTAAATTATGGACCGTGATCTAGTTATTTAATCTTTGAGTCTCGTTGTGCTCCTGTGTAAAATGGAGGTGTGAGAAATTCTATAAATTGGGGAGTCACTGTAGAAGTATTCTGAGTAATGAGAGACCTGCTGGCTAAGATCTGAAATTCAGATGAGGGTGCAGTGGTGGAAGGGAGGGAGAAGAGCTGTTTAGCTGTCGTTAGGGTGTATGGATAAGGTAGAATAGATTTGAGATTGAATATTTTCTGGGCCAGAATATTTTGTGAAAGAACGTTAGTATCAACAGATCCCTGGGACTTCTGCCTTTCTGTCTCGAGGTCTGACTGCATTTATTTGTCTAGGCTACCCGTGGAACATAAGCAATGGATTCCTTGGACCATATGCTGACGGATCCCTTGGAGCTGGGCCCGTGTGGAGATGGCCGCGGCACGCGGATCATGGAGGACTGCCTCCTGGGGGGCACTAGGGTTAGTCTGCCCGAGGACCTCCTGGAGGATGTGAGTAGTGACAGCGGCACCGTCTTTTGCTTTCTAGCAGTCCCTCTCAGCCTTTGCTACACTCGGCAAGTTTTCAGTCTTCTGTGCTCCCTTCTTTCTGATTTTCTACATTGCAACCAGAGTGATCTTTTTTTATTTTTAAGTTTAAGTCTTTTTAATAGTCTGATTAAGGAAGAAAGCATAAGCTACATTCTGCATGTTTAATAACATGTAACTCTATAATGACATACGCCATACTTTGACAAGATAATTTTCAGCAGTTAGCAAAAGTTTTATATTTAAGGGCAGAATTGTGTATATCTTTACATTAGAATGTTTACCCATGTTGTGAATCATGAAACAAAACGCAAACATATTATCTCTGTCCATAAGGTAACCAACTTGCTAGTCAGTTAATAGTACCTTCCCTGGGATAGCATTAATATTGTGCTTTTGACCACTTTTCACAGGCAGTCATCATGATTATTATGGTGACATTTATTTAGTGCTTATTATGTGCAAGGCACTAGGTATGCTGAAACGTGTTTATCATCTTGTTTATCTTGCCATAGTTCAAACGTATGGACAGGCGTAGAGTATCATATGGCGAACATCTGTGCATCATTCAGTTTGGGGAGATAATTTCATTTAGTTATATTTGGTTCAGATTTTTCTTTCACAATGTGTCAAAAATTGTAGATAAAATTAAAGCCACCATTTTGCCCTTATTCCCTGTCCTACCCAAAGTAACAGGTACTGAACTTGGTGTATTATCTTTCCCATTCATGTTTTCTTTGCATGCTCTTTCAAGTAAACCTCTTCATGTCATTCATTCAGCCAGCAAACGCTTGTTTTATTGAAATACCTACTTTATGCCAGAAGCTGAGCTGCCAGGAATCAAGTGGTATGCAGAAACAGGTTTGCAGGGGGAGATCTTGGCCAGGGAGCCAGAGGAGCTTTGGTGCCTGCTTGCTGAGACGCCTGGCAGGTGGCTGGTTTCTGGGTTCTCTCCTGCTTAAACCCTTCGGTGGCTCCCCATTGTCCTTAGGATAAGGTCACAAGTACTTGACATGCTTCTAGGTCCCTTGCTCCTCTCTCTGCTGTCTACTGCTTCCCTTTCCTTCCCTGTTGTTGAGCTAGCCAGACGTTGCCCGAACTCTTTTTTTATTTTTTATTTCATTTATTTATTTTTAAAATTATTTATTTATGTGGCTGCATCGGGTCTTAGTGGTGGCACGCAAGACCTTTGTTTCAGCATGCAGGCTCTTTTGTTGTGGTGCACGGGCTCTAGAACGGGCAGGCTCAGTAGTTGCAGCACGTGGGCCTAGTTGTCTTGTAGCACGTGGGATCTTAGTTCCCCGACCAGGGACTGAACTTGAGCCCCGGCAGTGAAGTCGTAACCACTGGACCATCAGGGAATTCCCAACACATCTCTCAAGTTTTTTTTTTTTTTTTTTTTTAAAGTTTGTTTATTTGTTTATTTTATTTTTGGCTGTGTTCGGTGTTTGTTGCTGTGCGTGGGCTTTCTCTAGCTGTGGCGAGCGGGAGCTGCTCTTCCTTACGGAGTGCGGGCTTCTCATTGCGGTGGCTTCTCTTGTTGTGGAGCACGGGCTCTAGGCACGCGGGCTCAGTAGTTGTGGCTTGCAGGCTCTAGAGTGCAGGCTCA